AACTCAACCAAATTCTGTTCTTAATATACAGAGTATCTCCAAACGAATAGACGCTACTTGCTTGCAACATTGTACTAAGGTAAATCGATGTAATTCGTTTTATTTTGTTCTAAAGAGGCTACCATTAAAATATCGTTCATTCGTTTGAAGACACTCTGTATATTAAAGACAGAAGCTCGTTGAGTTGGGACAGCTAAACGAGTTTTTCTAAAAAAAATCTGCGTTTTCAGTGGTTTTAATAAGAGTACCTTGTGCAAAATTAAATTTTACATTTTGATACAAGACAAACAATGTAAAAAACCTAACCTCAAATGGAAAGAGATAGTAGCTAACGACATCTAACGAATTTCAATGCAATATACTGTTTTTTAGAAAACTGCCCTTTCAATCGTTTGTCACTTTACAGCAAAAGTTAAATTATACAAACACCATTATATGTAATGGACGCTTGTAGATTGTAACTGATGTTTTTGTTGTATTTTGTATGTATTATTATGGATATTTAGATATGTAATAATTTTATTTAAATCTAGGAAGACGTAGGATAATACGACGTAATGTTGATGAAAATGTAGCGAGGTGAATTTGTGTTGTCGTTTTATTGTGAAATTGATCGCCCAACATTCGTTCTGTGAGTGTACGTCAATATAAGCCGCCATGCCTGAGCAAGGAGGTTTTTGCCACTGTTAACTTGATCTTACCTGTGGTTTTTTTGACAAATACCTATAGTTGTATAGCTTTAAACAATTACATTGACAGAGTGTATAAGGGAATAAGAAAATATATAAATCCAATGACGTTCAACTCCTTATTCTGTTTTATAACGCATTTTAAAAAATTTATTTAATAACAAATTGATTAAATTAACAAAAAAGCTGAATTCTGTTTTTTATACCGAAAGAAATAATCTATTATGGATTTCGTTCGTTTGTGTTATTTTTTTGCCCCCTCTTGGGTAAAAATTAATTTAGGTAAAAATAATAATATAATTTTTGTAATAAACTTGTTAGAATTGGATAACGATTAAGAATTTTTTAAATGACAAACGCTAACCGTGTTTTTTTATTAGCAAAAAAAGAAATTAGTATTGGATCGGTGCGGCACCTCGGTAACAATATTTGCAACGAAATTGAAAATTGATTTTCGAACGTTTTTTAAGTTATACTCAAAAAGTTCATCATCCTCTAGACCTTACTATACAAATTGAAATTTTAGACATAAAAAATTATATCGTCTCGTAGAAAGATACTTCATTACAAATTCATAATTACTTTCCGATGTATTAATAAGAAAACATTTTATAAAAGCAATAAAAAATTAAACCTTTAGTGAATAGAGTAGCGATATTATTGAATTACTATTAAATATCAAATTACAGAATATTGAAAAAGATGTAATACAATTTATTCTCGTCCGTACTATAAAGCAGATAACAGCTAAATATTTAAAACATGGGCGAAAAAAAACAAATTAAAGATATTCAAAAAATGTAATTAATATACACTAGTCCGAAAAATGTAAAGATAAATAAAAATCCTAAATTTTTAGGTGAATATCAAAAGGCTGTAACTTGGAGAAAAATGGTCGTAGAGGAATGAAAAAAATGGAAATTGGAGACATTTAAGAAATCATAAAAAATTCTTAAATTTTTGCCTCCCTTTCAAAAGGTCCACGGGCTTCAATAATTTTTTTTGGGCAGTCCCACCCGTCAGTTCTAGTTTGATTCATCCATTTCAATTTGAACTATTCAAGAGCTTTGCACGATGATTTGTTGCCGAGTTAACGTCGTTTAAAGCAAAAACCTTTTTGGCTTTGACAATTAATTACTCGAAAACTAATAATCGTACAGAAAATCTAAGCAGGGTTTTGAAAACTTCAAAGTATCCTCCATAAAACGAAAATCACAAACTTTTTTTACATATAGGATATATGAATTTATTCTACTAATGCAGTTCGCCATACTAATGTTGAAAAAATTTTTTTAAATATTTTTTAAATGTCAGTTGTCGATATATACTTATTTTATCGTTAGTTGTTATTAAAATATACACCCAACTAAATATTAGGTGTCTCTCAGGGTCTAGAATATTTCGTCTATCTTAACATGCTACAATCCGGTAAAAAAGTTGAGAACAAAATTGATTCTCATCTCTACTGGAACGAAATACCTACTTATTTTTGGGGGATTTCCTGCCCACTAGCTGCTTTTTTTAGGACATATTCTCTAGTATTTATTTAAAAATAAGAGTAAGCAGTTTTTTGTTAGCTGTTACTGAACTGTAAACAACTTTAATATAAAAATTGTTCTCACATTAATCATTAATTCTGATTATAAAAAGTTATTAAGTCGAGATTTGATATTTTTTGGGGGAATTATGTATAACACTTTTTAGACGAATCAGGAATGGGTAGTAGCTACCTGTTTTTCCGCCTACTACTCGTAAGATAATATACAGGGCGTCGCTAAATTGTCTCCCTGTGTTACAAAGAAGCATAGTCCACAGAAAAGATTAGGGCACCTTTTTACGTAAATGTTTTCCGAAATAAAAAAGATGGGGATGAAATAGTGACAGTACCATTCTCTTCCAAATGGAGAAAAATTTATGTGAGACGTGACACCACCCTGTATATACCCCTTTTATTCGAAAACCATAATGCCTGGGCGCATTATTCATATGCGTACGTCATAATAATGTCGGCCACTAAGACAGGTATATTATTTTTCAACCTGATTACATCCGTTTCCGGTACTTTTAGTTCTGCATATCTAAATTCTGTAAGGTTGAATTTGCAATGAAATAAGCTTCGAGCCACATATACATGCCGAATGTTAATGTAATCCAGTGGGTTTAAACTTACCCGATAATTAGTTGGGATGTAGTAGGTATGAATGATTTGTTTCCATGAGTGTGAAAAATTATATAAAATAAAAATTTCTTCTAAAAACTGGTCATACAGATGAAAATATGAAACCTCTTTGAAGACCTGTTTTCCTAACTTTGTTAAAATTTAGGTGACCCAGATTATTTTTTCACCCATTTTTTGAAATAAAGATTTTTGCGAAACCATACCTAGAGCGACAAATTGGATATGAATTATTTTATTAAGGCTGTCAGTGTACATTATTTTCGTTAATAATTAGCTATTAGAAAGTGTAATTTTCACGCTTTGAAGTTATTATCAAATAGGCCTAAAAAATACACTCTAGTAAAAATGAATCACCATAAATGACAGCATGTTAAACGTGTGTCATTTAGACGTTTTTGACATGACAGTTATCAGTGTCAATGTTAGACTATTAATATTAGTTTCATTACAATGTAACACCATACGGGTATCATTAAATGCTATGCTGCTATGCATACAGAACGTTATGTCTAGGCTAACAAGATAATTATTTCCACTTTAATTTAAAAAGATTAAATTCCAATACATGTCGCTACCATTTTCCTTAAAATATAGATTTTTTGATAATATTTTTATAGAATATATTTACATATTCCTTCATTAAATGCAGAACTTTGTATTACGTTAATAATAAGTAATTACTGTCTTGCTGTTTTTAACATTTACGCAAACTTTTGAAAAATGATCGATACCGATATTAATAAATGATTCTTATTCTCGTTTTTATTAATTAATGACTTTTGAAACTACTCATTTTGTATTCGTTCAATATCAAATATGTTATCCCCAAAATCTAAAAATGTTTCATCCGGTCTATAAGAAAAAAACATTAATTAAAACAAAAAAAAACTAATTTATCCCAAATTAATGACACACAATTTGGAAAGCGATTATACCTCGTTTGCGAATTAAGTATATTCGAACTGGAAGCACAAATTTTAATATTTATAAACCATTATCTATATTCGAAACGAACATTATATTTATGTATGTATGTGATATAGTCAGGAGTCACTATCAAAGCGTTGTTTATGTAGTTTGGGATGATATTTGAGATACAGTATTTATAAATAAAATTTGAAGGAAAAAGCATGTGAATAAAATTAAACGCTGAAGATTTGTAGTAAGATATACGCAAGGATGTTTGAAGAAAAATACATATACAGTGTACATGTAATATTAACCAAACTTAACTTAGTCCAAAAGTGTATACAGAACGTCAAAGTTAGTTGTTTTCATTGTTTTCAAATAACCTTTGCAAAATTGCAGATATTGCACAAATTTTGGGTATCGGAGGTTTTTTGAGAAGACGAATTCAAATGTAAACATAATTTTGCTGTTACTTATGTCATAACTTTTTTGCTTCTCTGTATATCTACCTTTTGAAAACATTTTTTCATTTTCCTACCTTTTTTACGTAATGGTAACATTTTGAGTTATTCTTTTTGTGTAAGTAACTATTTCTGTAACACTGAAGGGAAAATAAAATTTTTTGGGCCAAAAGGTTAATCGAAGGAGTATCACAGTGAAAAAGTTGTTAATCCTTCACGACCACACAGTAGCAATCACTATAACATATTACATAGTTTACATTTCGAAAAACAGTTTTCCTTATTCCTTATCGAAACATTCGCTCTCAAATCGACTTAAAGTCGTATGTTGTAGTTTTTTGTTTTGTTTATCTGCCTTCCATAGAGCTGTACGATATTATGTAATATTTATTCTATCAGCAAAATAAACGCGGACTCTTTTAGTTTTCTTTTCATCGTATTATTTTTTATAAAGAAACCAGTTTAAGTAAACTGTAATGTGGAATTCCTGTATAGTAAAGAATTATCTACTTTGTCAATGTGGGACAATTCTGGTAAGGCAAAACTAAATTTATAAAATCAACCCTTTGGCTGTCTTTGCGTGGAAGAAAACCCAATCAAATAAAAAGTGTAGCATTATTTCCTGGCATTGCATATGTAAATGCTGTACTTTATTATAAACAGTGGTTTCAAGAACCATCCAGGTTTCATTCAATATTTAATCTGTTTACAGTTTTGTGTTTGGACTGGGGACGATCGCCGTGTATCAGCGGTAATACTAACTTGTGTTATTGTTATTCTTGCTCATAATCTTCCTGGGGACCGATGGAGACAGCGAATTCCGCTGAAGAAGTACATGGGACGCCGACGCCGACGCCGGTGTCACGCACACTTTTGGCGATTGTCTGGCACTCGAACTACCACTGGCACAGTTACCAACCAACATCACCGGAAGATTCGAACCGGACACGGCGGGAACAGGACCTTCCGCACTAGCGTTCGAGGACCGACCCTCGTCGACAGCCCCAGGATGTCCAGAATCCATATTCCCGGCGTCCAGAGTCATTCACAACATAAACAAAAAAAAACTAAAAGCGGTTTAGTGTGTTAAAGTTGCAGGATGCAACTTGTGGACTGTTCGAACTACAACTGCAGCAGAAGACGATTTTATTTTGTTTTACTCCCCACTGCAAGTGTGCCGTGCACAGGATAGCGGCGCGTATCCCCACCACCGGCGCTTTCATCAAACAAGGGTACGCGGAAGCTCGCCGGCTCGCCTGTGCTTTCGGACTTTCTTTCCTTCGACTTGTATTTTTACTAGCTGCATCCCCGCAGGCATTTTTTAAGCCAGAATGTACTCCGTTAGCCGCTGCAGCACGCTTCCGTCTGTCGACTGGAAATTTTGATCGAACACGGAAAAGGACACGTTTAAAAACTATTGTTATTGCCGCAATAATAAAAAATGGCACGTTTAAACGGCATGTAACAGTTTTTTATGAATTGCCAACGAGGTTTTTATTAAAGATCTGATGAAACACAAAATATATGTCCTGTAGACTTCAATAAAAATTAAAAATTGACAGTTGAAACACGTTTAATCCACGTTGCTAATTACTAAGATCTCTTTCTTGTACGTTCCAGTAATTTAGCAATTTTTAGATGTTAAAATGTTTAAACTAACTATAAATACGCTTATAGTGACAAAAATTTAAATAGCAGTGACTTTAAATGATTTACGGTAGTTTTTATTTATTATAAGCAGCATTTTTTATTAAACATTTAATACAACACACTGTATCTATTTCCTGTATCGTTTTAGTTGCGTGATTATTAGATAAAGAAGAATAAGAATGTTTTAATATACAATATTAACTGGCTTCTTAATTTTTGTAAAACATTTGTCAGTTTGGATAATTTTTGTTCCGGCCCTGTGCCTATATTCCAATAATTAACTGGAGTGGAAAATCCTGAAATAATTCCAATACGTCGATTGATAGGGGAAAATTCTATACTACTCATTGTGAAAATAACCAAAAAGAAGATTGTCCAAACTTACATTGACAACACAAATAGTTTAGTACGCCGTATGTATAAAAAATTATATTTGCATTAAAAAAAACCTAGAAAGTTAACAAAATAAACCGTATAACGCCTCACATACTTACTTTTCGTATATTTAAATAATTATGTTTTCTTTATTACGTTTTACATGCAAATTTTCACCGCTCTCGTTTGGACGGTGTATTCAATCAAAAGTACCCGCCACAGACATAAAAAATGCCGGACCAGCCAGTCCTACATTATAGACCGTATCCGTACCACCAATAGTTCCTTTAAATTCAGCATGGATAATTTCGCCTAGGATTTCACGAGGGGTTGTACGACCAAGGGAGTCTAGGTCCCACCATTTTAATTTTGCGACTGGGGTTGGGCTACATCTTCATTTTTTATGCAGTTTCCGTTAGAAATCGTTAGTTTGCGTTAAGGGTTAGAAGTGGTGTTGTTAAAATTACAAAAACAATTTACTTGTTCAAATGAGAAAAGGGATGAAAGTCATCATGTAAAAATTATAAAATAATTTTAGTGACTCGTCGCAAAATATTTTGTCTCAATAGTGAATTTGCTTTATTTAACAGTTTAGAACGAAAGTCTGACGTTATGTAAATTTATGTGCAATCAATATTCAAATGTATTATGTAGTCTTTTCAATAAAACAAAACAAGCGAAGCAAGTTTGAAGAGTCTGAGTATAACTTTTAACTGAATTAATAAATTTATATCAAATCGTATATATTTATAATATTTAAATAGGCAAAACTGCATAACATACAAAAAATTATAATAGGCGGGAATCCCAGGTTATTATAAAACTTGTTTGATGCATTTTCCTTAAAAAAAAATACCTATAAAAATACAACGTTTATGGTAATGCACAGTAACTCAATTTGTGGTAATAAATTTCACTAAATAAAAAACTATTTGAGACAGAGTTTGTTCCCACCAGATATTAAAGTTTTTTTTTTAATTCTTTATGTCAAAGTCGTGGGATAAACACCGCATTCACTGCACCCGAGGTTGGTTACAAAAAATGTCCGTGTTAGAGTAACTATAGTTTAAGCTAAAGACAAGTACAGGTAAAAGAGTAGATGCCTAAATGATCACGGCCGGAAAGTTTTTATATTAATTTACATATGAGGGGAACGTAACCGGTCATTTTTGATATTGTAGGGACTTATTCTTTAGAACGTTGACCCTTTCAGTTAAATACTATATCTTAGGACAATGCGTTAGGGTGGATATAAGCTTAAGACATAGATGATGGACCATGGCCCACTGTAAGATTTTCGCTAAAAAAAGCACCCTCCGTTTATTAAATAAATAACGGTATTACTACTTTTTTCTCTTGGTGCTCCAATATCTGACACATTCCTCTGTTTTAATTAATATCTTATAATGGTAGAAAAAGTAAGAGTTAAATAAATTAAATTATGTTTACATTAATTATTATAAACTTTAATTATAAAAACTACTACCTTTTTACAGTCGTGCGTATTTATTCAAATTTAAAGTTGATATCAGGTAACGGTGATGATGTTGATAGCGTTATATTTACACTTAAATAATTGAGTAATTACCACAATATTTATATCCATTTCAATCAAATACATTTGACGTATGTATTACCATATACCCATTAGTGTATAATTAAGTACCTAGCTTTGATTAGCTTTTTGATACATTTGCATTAATTCATTTAAAGACACAATAATTTGAATTATATTTAATTGCATCGATTGTCAAAAAAGTTAATAGTAATATATTTATTATTACTATTTTTTATTCTTTACTACTGTAAAAACTATTAGAAACGCCACTGAATCTAATGTAGAGCAAGCAATTTTTATGATGCATCATTGCATCGTCATGTGCCATCTGCGGACGTATAGCAGTATTAGTGGTATGTTAACCAATAATTTTGTAGCTACAGTGTAGATGTCGCTGTACATAAATATTTCATTCTGCAATATTCTGCAAGTCCTTGAGAAATTATTTCAACATCGGGTACACACTGTTACTTAATCCTACCAAAGAAAAGTCATCCTGGACTACGACGGGTTTGTTATTTAATTTACCTCTCGTTTTAAAATTTTCGATTTTTATCTCTTGGATCCCAAGGATCCCAAAAATGAAATTTTATTTGAAATAAACAGGCAGGCAGATATCCAAAGGTGGAGGGCATAAAAGAGAAGGAGAAGAAGAGAGGTACACATGCGCAGTAACGTACCCTATTATCTAAGTTATCAGCAGCGCCCCCTACATCATAGCATTGCATTAAAATGCAAATTATCGGCCATTGTTGTACTGGTGTGGTATGGTTGATATAGAACTGTAATATTTCAGTGGATAATCCTGAATCTGTAAAGTGATAGTGATTTTCTGCTGTATTTCTAAGTAAAATATAGCGACTATGTCTGAGAGTGAAAATAAAAAATTATTTGAACTGAGAGTTGTTGATCTCAGAGCTGAATTAGACAAGAGGGGCTTGGACCGTAATGGCGTGAAACAAGTATTATTGGAACGGCTCGGCAAGGTGTGTAAACTACAAGATATTATTTTAATAAAAGTTTACTTAGGAACATTTATTAAGTTTGCGAGTCATACTAGAGGATGAAGAAAATATCTTAAGTATTTAAGTATAAAAGTACAAAATTAATTGACGAGCGTCAGTATCGATTATTCATTCTTTAATAATATATCTCCTATTATTTGCTTGAAATGTAGGCAAAGGCATAGGATATAGCTTATATCAAATACGGCTCAGTATGCCTTTTTACATTAATTAAAATTATATATGAAATAGAATTCAGAAACGCTTGAACTTTTTTGTGAATAAATATAATTTTTAGGCATTGACTGATGAAGGCTTTGATCCAGATACTTATGAATTTGAGATATCGGACAAAAAGCGGTCTTCTACACGTAAGTTGAAATTGATAAAAATATTTTTTGCCGTATAATCAATTCTATATTAGGTTTGTCTGTAGAGAGTATGGATGAAGAAAAATCTGACAAGGCAGAAGAAAAAAATGTTGAAAAACCATCACAAACTGATAAAAAACCAGAAGAGGATGAAAAACAGGAAACGGAATCTAAGTCTGATCAAAGTGATGCTGCTAAAGATAATAAAGAAGCAAATACTAATGGAGAAAAAGTTACAGACGCCCCAGAGGAAGAAAATGATGGACATGAATCACCTATTCGCCTTACCTTAGAGGATGATGATGAAACTCTACACGATGTTGAGGTTGGTACATTTCTTAAAAAAATCTTTCCGAAAAGTTAAATGATTTTGCTTTTATGCAGAATGAAACAACTACTGAAAAATCCGCCACAGAAAAAGAGGCAGAAGAAAAATCTGAAGGTAAGTTTAATATACCCCTTTCCTTTATGCTAAAATGTTATACTTGAAATCTCTTTGTAGTTAGACATAAAACTAATTGCATATATACTTATATAGTTAATATAACATTTTATAGAGAAAACTAAAATATGTTCATATATGAAATTTGTTCTTTTGTGTTGTAAATTGATTATAAAAACTAATTGCATATATATCTACAAACAATATGGCTACAGATTGTCTTTCATAAGTGTCGAGAAGACTTAGGATATTAACGCACAAGAAGCTGTACACGAAGGCCATCTTTGAAGAGAAGAGTATTTTATAGTACAGGATTATATGTCCTGTTACTTAATATCTGCTCTACTAGTCTGATTTCTCTAGTTGTTTATCTGGAAATAGTAATTGGTCAGATTTACTAACTAGAAAATGACTTATCTGCACTAGTCTTACATGGAAGAGTTCTTTGATCAGATACAGGATTCACTTCATCTACTTACAACAGAGGACAAGATCTGTTTACTACAAGTTCCAGGCAGGACATCAATAATATCGAGGTGATTTCATCGCTGAGTCAAGAGTATTTGAAGGTCATTTAAGGGAATTTGAAAATGGAGTTCTGTGTTACATCAAGAAATAAAGTGGATGTCAAGAGAAGTTTTCAGATTTGCATACACTGCAGAGAATTTCATATGTCAAACATATATGCAATTAGTTTTTTGTTTCGTAAAATAACACTTATTCTGAGACATCAAAATTTTCGACACCAAGAACATTTGTGGTAACTTAATTAGTAAATATCAAGCACCAAAAACTTGCATGATTTTACCTGTGTTTCTAAATAAGTGCAGTGTTTAAACGCCCAGGAATTTTTTTACATTCGTATATTAAAAAAGTAACTTTTACTTGTTATTAATATTCAATATTTTTCATGTTCAATATATCAACTATCAGTTGTGCTTCAGATAGAATTCGATTTGGAATGAATCAATCGTTTATATATTATATCACATCGATTTCATTTCTTCCTATAGATAAGAAGAGTAATACGAGTGAAGCTACGTCGCAGTCTGATTCCAAAACATCTGAACAATCAGCAGAGAAAGCAGCAGGTTCCAGTGGAGACTACAAAGATGGGGATAAGGAATCCGCTGATGGATCATCTAGGTTGGTTTTTCTATGATCCCTTTGATAAAGACAACATAAATATAGTGAAAGACAAAGACTCATCAAAAATGCTGCCTATATTGTAAATCTAAACAATCCCACTCATCGGAAAGGACATTCCCTAGGAGTTTCACACTATAGGACTATACAGGACAACCAGGACCAAGGACTTCATACAGGATTTTAAACCTTCCAGCTGATTACTTTTACATTCAACCCGATTCAACTGAGGATCCTTAAGAAGTAGTTATTTTAACCAATATGACTTGAAAGTCATAGATGGACAAAATGGACATCCTATTCCTAGAAAAATTTTCCATGTACCAGGGGACTACCGTAAAACCTTGAAATTTTACCGAGATTTTTACCACGACGGATGAAACAAAATCAATACTAATTAAGAGCTCTATAACAGAAAAAAGGCAGCATTGATGAGTATTTAATATTAAAAAAAAAAAACACGAAAATTATCGTTCTGTTCGGGGTAAGGCAACAAAGGTAAAAAATATCTCTCCAGGCAAATACAAACGGGAGGTTGTCGTTTATATTTTATTAATGTTTATTTTTTTAAACATAGTCACAGCTTAGAGTCATCTTTGTTGTATGAGTGTGGCAATTTGAAAGAAGGGCGTAAATGTATGAGTTACTTACATGTCGAATTAGTAGGTAACTTCATTTAATCACATTTCTTGTTGACTATTTTGTAGTGGGACAAAACTGGAAGATACCAAACTTCAGAAGAAAGTCGGTGCCAAATCCAATCCGAACGTTGTGTGGATCAGCAATGTTGCACAAAATACTCGCGCCAGTGAATTGAAGGCTGCGCTTTCTTCATGCGGAAAAGTAACGGGAGCTAAAGTCGTCGTTAATGCCAGATTTCCCGGGACATGTTGTTTTGGGTATGTCACTATGAGCTCCGTGGAAGATGTTGAAAACGTTATCGCTAAGCTTAATAACACTGAACTGAACGGACAGATTATTAAGATTGACAAGGTTAGACAATTTTAAATATTCGTCCAGGGTGTTTCCAAATAACTCAGTTTTCCAGTCACGGTTTCCCTTTTTTTTTTCTGCATAATTTTTTCGAAACACCCTGTTAGTGGTAAAGAAATATGCGTTAGAACTACAAGTGTTGTTTTTAGTTTGATCACGTAAGGGCAGAACAAATGAAGCAGCTAAAAGCAGTTGCAACGCCAAATAAGACTACTCAGAATGATGAAAAGAGTGCATCCAAATCACCGGGTAAAGATAGTCTGAAGAAGGATGATAAATCGGTAAAAAGTGACGACAAATCGGGCTCTGACACTGAGAAGAAAAAAGAGGGAGATAATAAAGAAGAAAAAGACGATATTCAAAAAGGCGATTCTAAAGGTAGAGAAAGTAAAGAAGGACCCGGTAGTAGACATTCAAGAGATAGAACTAGGGGTGACAGCAGAAATGGGGTAAAATCTGGTAGATCTGATGATGGCAGAGTAGTAAGTATTTTAAAACGTCAAAAAGTGGAAGATAAATAAAGTAACTACCACTTTCAGAGGTCTGCATCGGGTACTAGCCGAGATAGGAGGGGTTCCAGATCTAGGGACCGGGATCGACGTCACATTAGATCCAATTCTAGAGGACGCCATGAAAGAGACGTCTTAACATTCGACAAAATTAGAGTAAGATAATAATTTTTATTAAAAAAATAGTAGTATGGTCTAAGTGTCCTTTGTTAGGAGGAACGTGAAAGACAAAGATTGCGTGAGAAGGAGAGACTGCTGCGTGAAGAAGCTCGACGCCGTCAAGAGGAAGCCGCTCGTCAACGTGAAGTTGAAAGACGCCAACGCAGTGAAGCTCACCGCCTTGAAAAAGAAAAGGAAAAGTTACGTATGGAGAGGGAGAAAATCGAACGTGAAAAAGCCGAATTGGTTAGAATGGAGCGTGAACGTCAAAGATTGGAACGTGAAAAAATAGCTCTTGAGAAAATGGAGTTGGAGCGCACACTTATGCGTTTAGGAGAAGAACGTAGGGCTGTTAAGAGACCAGCGCCTTATCGACGAGAGGACGGTTTTGAAGAGAGGAAGAGGTCCGCTTCTGATAGACATTTTGAAGAACCGCCTCCACCGCCAAGATTTGATCCTCCTCCAAGGTAAGTTATCAAGGATTTTTTTTATTTTCGGAATTAATTATACTTTCTTTTGCAGACCTGGCACTGGGCCAAGCGGAAGCAGTGGAAAATATGAGGGACGGCCTTATGATGGCAGGGATTCCAGAGGTGAACCTAGAAGCGAACCTCGCAGTGAACCTAGAGGTAGAGAACTACCCCCATCTCGACCAAAAGACTCTCGCTACGTTGACAGAGAAAGAGAACGTGATAGAAGTCCTCATTTCCGACCTTCCGTAAGAGATGAAAGAGAGAGACGCCCGTTACCTGATAGTAAGCCTGATTTGCCCATTTCTTCAAGAGACCATCGTTATGGGGACCCGAATGGTAAGTTTTATTGATACCGTTTTGCTTTTTAGTTGACGTTGCAAATTAATTGAAGTTTTTAATGCCTAACTTTGTTTCAACAGCAGGTCCGGGAAGATTTGACAGGAATAGTTCAAGCTGGACAAATCCACCGCAAAAACCATTTAATTCAGTCGTCCCACCAAAACCATGGGCAGCTAAAGACCCCTGGAGGCCCGATTCATCTGTTTCAGACAGGTACTGAAATTTTGTTTGATTTTTCTTGTGCTGAGGTTTTTTACCACTAGTTAAATGTCCGTCTCGCGTATAATCGGTCATAAAAATCACCCGCCCGGAATTTCGAGAGACGCTAGTGATCTTAACTGTTGGTTTTTGTTTCTACTTTTGTTTCTACTGTTTTGTTAAAGGGCTGTCAAGCCAAGTGGCACATCAAGGCTAGCCAGCATTGCAACGAAGTATGTCCCTTCCCCTTTTTGATAAAACTGCGTTAGACGGTCAGAACTACTGGTAAAGAACCGTCAGATTTTAAATTCTCCATATATTTTTTAATGACTAACTTGGGGACCTACTTCACAGGTAGGTAGATATTTGAATGGTTCGTTGATATTTTCCTTAAGTATCGACAAACTAAAATGAGATATACTTGTAGTTAGCGTATATATTTTTTTTAAACAATGTGGACACTGCAGTGAAAACTCTATATAATTTTTTTAGGTGGCCAGGTTCTCAGGGGAACCCATCAATGCGACCATTTTCCGGTAATTCCAACTCTAACTTAACGCCTGTGTGTCCGCCTCCGCCTGGTATAAAAGGTTACCCCGATAGATTCGATTACAATAAATCGCTTGATTATAAGAAGACGATGAACTCCAATTTAAGAAAGTACTGACCTATGTCCGTTGTCTTAATGTTATTAATATTAAACTAGTGTTCCATTTTTTTTATAGTTCGAGTTAAGGGTTTCAAACAAAATTGTGTTTAACTTTGTTATAGTTCAAAAAATACTTATGCTTATTTCAGATTTAAGCAGTATATTTTTGTATAGCTGCTCGGTTGCAGTTCAAATGTACATTCTCTTTTTTTTAACCATTTGTAAATGGTTATTTTTAATTGTAATATTCTTGTAAGTCTAAGATGTAGTTTTAAACATTACTTAAGCATTATATCTTCTATTGTATATTGAACCTTAAGAAGGCATTCGAAATAAACATTAACACTTAACTTTTTGTTTTTTATAATCCCAGGTCCACATTACCATTTTTTTTAAACTAAATTGAAAACAATATGCAAAAGTGAGAAATTATAAGATTTTAATTTACCAATTTCTTATAACGCACTGTTGAGGGCAGTGGCTTTGTCGAACCACCATGTTTTAAATTAATTTTTTCTTTGTCGAAGTATGACGTTATTATGCTTATTGTGTTAGACTAATTTCCTAATCGTTTCCACAAATATTCCTAATATCCACATTTGGTCATATGTCGCAATATAAATTATCTGCACAGGTGGGATTGTCCGATTATTACGTTTTTAAAAAGGCGTAATACTAAAAACTGAATAAAGTTTGGGAAGTGGCAAAATAAATTACTTTTGTCATAAAAAAAAATATTCGACTTCGGTCACAAAATATAATAAAAATATAACTGAGTGATTTTGCCACATTTTCTCTAATTTTTAGATGTAGTCATGGCCCGATATTACAAAAAAAGTTGAGTTCTAGGTATTACCCAAGGAAACGTTACAATCTAAATTATGTTAAAATTATGATTATGTATTCTTTGAGAATTTTTAATCTCGCTCATGTCTAAATTTTTATATTGTTTATTTTTATACTAAAAATAGAATATATCTTTGGGATATAGAATTTAGTTTTCTTCAACTGAGCGTATACATTTCTACTACCTCCACGTTTAGTTCGAGCAGACAAGTTTTTCAGATATTTCAATGCCGAGTTGCTGCGTCAGCGACCGAACTTGGTACATACTGCCAACCTCTTGGTTCTTCAATTGAGGTTGGAAAGACTATAACAGCTCTTGTTTTAAAACACCACTAGGTTTGAAATAACTATTTCTCTGAGGTATACTTAAGGGAGGGCTATGGGGGCTGTAGCCCGGGGCCTTACGATATCTGAACGTCTCGACAAGATCTGGCAAAATTTTTTCTTTCTTTAGAATCAAACCAAAATGTGTTAAGGTTTTGAAATTTTATATTGACTAGTTGCTGATTGCGTGACCTTTTTTTTAGAAACAAAGAAAAACCTGCTTAGGTTTCGAAATTTAATATCGTTTTTCTTTAGAAAGAGGGCCTGCGTAGAGCTTGTAGCCCCGGGCCTCACCATAGGTTAATCCGGCCCTGGGTAAGCTTCTTACATTGATATATCAAAATAACAAAGTACCTATGGAGTTAAAATCAAAAATAGACCCTCATTCTTTGAAAAAAAAAAAAAATTGTAAAAGTTGCCCGGAAAATTCGGGAAAGGCTGAAAGTGCTTATCACAAACAAATTTATTGAAATTTGGACAGGACGTCTGTCGGGTCAACTAGTTAGAAAAAAAAGTGACTTCCTGCCGAAAAATCTCTAGTGAGTTTGTCTTGTTTGACTTACATCAAGTACACTGTGAAATAACGACAAGCGACACAGTCTCGCTTGACGTACCCAATAAGATACTTTTAATTAAAAATTAAATTACATATTGATTGAACCCATTCTCCCTATTTTTTTTTATTTTTTTGGCCAAATTTTATTCTTAGATATCGTTTCCTTTATTTTTAGAATTCATCTTTTACTTCAAAACATTTTTTGACAGTAAAGACATCTCTTAGGTTCTTTATAAGAGCAAAAAGTACTGCTAAAGTATCACTACCCTGCAGGTGACTCAAATTTTTAAAAATATAGTACGAGAACTTTTTGTACTGGTTTGTTTAAAAAAAAAAAAAAAATCAGGATCAGCCCCATTGATCTATTTTTCAGTTACAGTTTGGTGACTTCTTTTTGTAGTATAGCGTTATTAATCAAATCCAATTGGATTGAATGGAAACCCGTTAAATAAATTTTTTCTGTTAACAGATCAAATTCTGGTTCGACAGCGAATAGAGCAAATGACAATAGGGAGCCTAAAAGCAGAGACTTACCTACATCGCGACCAAAGGATTCTCGGTACGTCGAGAGGGAAAAAGAACATAGAAGCCCTCATCCTAGACCAAATATCAGGGAGGAAAGGGACCGTCGTACTGCTGTAGAAAATAAATCAGTTATGCCGATATCTTCAAGGGACCACCGTTATGGAGGGTCCAATGGTGAGATTACATTAATAAAACTATATTGTTGGTCAAAGTAGAAAATTACGTATTTTTTTAATTCTAGATTCAGGGCCGGGAAGATCTGACAGAAATAGTGCTATTTGGGCGGTACCGAGTCAAAAACCGTTCCCATTAGCTGGTTCGAATAAGCCTTGGCGACCAAGTTCCTCTATATCCGAGAGGTAATAGAAACGATTGAAATCCAATAGTTCTAAAACATGTTCCTTTCAGTATCATTAATTAATGTGGATTTAAATCGTTTGACAGAGCTTTCATAAATGTTTACAAGTCACGTGGCCGCCGAGCTTAGGCAACCCATCGCACGACTGGTACTGATACGAAAAATCCCTAAATTATTCATTTACAATGAACACTAACAAACCGTCACGTCTACACTCAAGAAAATATGACTGCTGATTGGTTGAATAGAATTTTGTGAAAAATCACAGCCGGTGAAATAGAGTGTCGTGTTTTAATGTAATCGTAATCGTGGGACTTAATTGTCAACATAAAGGAAATAAAATTACCGTTCCAAACAAAATTCCTGGTCACGTGGCTTGTAATCATTTATGAAGGCCTTGTGTATATTAATATAGCAATAAAAAAAGAAAAAGCTGCATATTAAAACAATGCCTTGTAAATAATTTGATGTTGATTAACACAGTGCCGAAAATTTTTATATCAGTGTATTAATCTGACGTTTTTGTCACAAGTATCAGGCGCCACACAAATTCTCTTGCAAAATGATCGGTTTTAAAAGGAAAGTGTTTTAGATAAATATATTCCTATAATTTGCCGTCCAAAGGTTTTTTACCACTAGTGAAATGCCCGTCTGCGTCGTGACCAGCTTTCTCAACGCCTGTTTTTTCTTTTGTTAAAGGGCTGTCAAGCCAAGCAGCACAGCAACTTTATCCAGCGTGGTGACGAAGTTTGTTCCTTCACCATTTTGATATCATTGTTACATTAGACGGTCTAATACTATTGGTAAAGAATTGTTAGACTGTAAATTCTACTTATATATTGTACGATAAACTAAAGGATATTTGAAATACTAGGTAGGTGCGAGGGGCTTAAATTTTTTCGTAAGAGTTTTGCCGATATCAACGTTCAACAAGGCAAACTGCATTGAAATGTAGAAAGCCAAAGATTTTTTGTTTTTAGCAAATATTAGGACTACTTGTGCCAGAAATTGATACTACAAATAACGAGACCAAAAATAGTTTTTTTTATTTTATACAGAAAAATCGTAATCGAACATATTAAATCTGATATTCTAAAAATGTCGGCAAATTTTGAAGATGGATATTAACAATTAAAAGTTATATTGAACAATTTAACTTAGAACTAATATTTAAGGGTTAAATTGATTCAAACATATTTTACTGTGCTAGTGTAAGAAAATTAACTATTAACAAAGTTGTTTCGTTGCCCTGATTTAACTAATTTATATCATTCATTTATTAGTTGTAAGAGTAATGTGTAGCAATTCCAGCAATTTAAAAAACCAATTTTTATCTTCTTTAGAGCTTACACATTGCCCTTATAGAATAGTTGTTTTGAATGTTGTCCACGTTGCGATATATTTTTTTACAGGATAATAATATACTCAGATTAACCATTGAATGCCCGTTTTTTGCGTGGGATATGGTGTGAACTTGAATTTATCCTCTTTTTAAAAGATTGTATTTTTAGATGGCCTTCTGGTCCTCAGGGAAGTTCATCTATCAGACCATATCCTGGTAATCCTCAACCAAATATGGTCCCCATCAGTCCTGTCCTATCTGGTGTAAACCGTTATCAAGATAGACATGATTACAATAAAACAAAAGTCACAAATCCAAGAAAGTACTGACCTATACCATGCCATTTAATTTTAATTAAGCGTTCATGTAGATTTGCAACAATTTTTGTTAAAGGATCGAAGAAATCGGTTTACATAGTAGTCTTAAGATTTTCTTCGAATTATTCATTTGGTTTTGAACATGACTAGTATGTACTCATATATACATTGTATATAATTCTTTAACGTCATAATTTTGTTACTTTTTCTTTATCATTGCAGTTTATTTCATTTTTAAATTAATAAAAATGTATCCTTAAAATAAAATGTTAATAAAAAAAATACCAGTACCACCAAGTGTTTTCTCTTTACCCACAACCTGACCTTTAAAAAACACTATTGACTAGAAAAGTCACAGTTTATTATTAAAATAAATTGTATAAAATATTTAAAGAATACAACCAGTAAATAATTTTATATAAATATAAAAAACGTTCACATAATAATTTGTGGTTCTGGAACGGAGGCAGCAATATTTTTATGTGGTAACACCTGACCACCATTTACATAAGTCTCGTCCTTGACAATGACATCCTCGCCTAATACCGTAATGGCTTCCATTCTGACCCATCTACCGACGGAAGATCTCCAGCCCACAATACAGCTTTCTAACCATGAATTTGATCGAATGGTGGCGTTTCGAAGGATTGTACTTCGTTTTATACAAACACCTAAGAGAAAAACGATGTCGGTATTCTTTAATTAAAAAAAACATTCAAATATGCAACTTAAAGCTGCATTTTGTCTTTTAATCCATTAGCAGAAAATGCAACTTAGAAACCAGTTCACCCGTGCAAAATTTTTTAAATAGTACATGGAATATTACATGAAACACGGTATTGACATTGAATCAAATTTGATGGAATCTCAAAAATTACTAGAAGCAGGAAAGAACAACACATGTTTGATTTTAAAGACAAATGCAACTATTAAATCAGATATTTGGTAACTTCATCTGTTTTCGAGTTACAGGCAAGGGAGATAAGGAGTGTTTTACACAAATAAAAAAGATTTTTTTTTAAAAGAAATGGCAAATTATTTGCTTTTATTTTATTTTATTTATTTGCAGCTGCAATGTTATAATTTTGCTTGTGAAGGAACATATTTCTTTCTTTTCAGTTGTAAATTTATTTGAGAAAAAACTTCTAATTAAAAAAAGTTAAGTTTTCCCAAAACTCTTGTTATAAAATTAAAATTAAACTGAAAATAAAAATTCTTTCTTTCTAACGAAGTACTTTGAACAACACACAGAATTGATGTTTCAAAAAAATAAATTATAGCTCACTAAAGAAAATTGAAAACCGAAATCTGCCGTATCAGTTCTTTAGAAAAATTAAAGACAAACGATTGTATTTGTTTCTTTTTTTCTATACCCGTTTTCTAGTAGTTTTAACAACTAAGGACACTCGGTTACTTATTTTTGGTGCAATCGCCCAAATACAAAACAACGTATCTACAAAAGCTATAAGAAACCGACTCTTACCATCTTCAATAACAACTCCAGGTCCAATAGTGACGTTAGGTCCTATCTGGCAATCAGATCCTATCTTAGCAGTTGGATCTACTAAAACATTACCAACTACTCCTGGTCCTTTATATAATTTATCTGAATTGGTCTGCCTTAAGTGCTTTAAATACAAGCACATCCCCGTTAGAAAATCTTTCGGTTGGCCAACGTCCATCCAGAACCCTTGCAACTCGAAGGCATAAAGTTGCTTATCCTCCGCCATGCCTGGGAACACTTCTTTTTCAATAGAAGTAGGACGCAGTTCTATTCTATTTAAAACGCTAGGGTTCAAAATATACAACCCGGCATTAATTTTATTTGAGATAAACTCTTGCGGTTTTTCCACAAAACTATCTATGCAATTGTCCTTATCATAAACCACAACCCCGTATTTTGATGGCTCTTCTACCCTAGTAACGACGATCGTGCCTTCTTTACCATGAGACTCGTGAAAGTCTGCCAATTCTTTAAAAGGAAAGTCGCAAATAATATCAGAATTAAGAACATAGAATGGTTTAGAGCTTTTTGAAAGAATATTCTTAGCTAAAGCTAATGGTCCGGCGGTACCTAAAGGTTCAGTTTCGTGAGAGAAAATTATACTTATTCCCAGTTTTTGTGCTTCTTTGATCAGTTCCTGCTCCATTTGTTCAGCCCTGTACGAAACTGCCAATATAACTTCGGTAACTCCAGCGGCCACTAATGCTTCAATCTGATGCAACAAAATGGGTTTATTTGCAAATTCTACTAAGGGCTTCGGACGGCTTAATGTTAAAGGTCGCAGCCTAGTACCATAGCCGCCTACTAATATAAGAGCCCTTTTTTCGTCTTTTATCATTTTCCTAATAGAAAAATTATATTAAGAGCTCGAACAATTCAAAAACTTTCGAATTTACTACAACTCAATGCAATATTACACGTCATGTAATACGTGATATGAAACAAGTTAATTGTGTGACGTGATTTAAAATATTAAAATTTCCTGATAACAAATAGTGATTCACATTTGTTTATATTTTGGTGGCAGATGACAGGTCCATTCAACAGGATAGAGAAACCATAGATCAAAAGAAACCACTGGACACAAAGAACTGGAATGTAACATTTGTCGTTGCCATTACCAACCTTCATGCAATAAATTTGTTTTATTTTGATAATAAAATTCGAACCAATGAGAAATCAAGAAATTTAGAGCCTATTTTCAAATTCCTTTGGAGCCTATTATCAATTTTTTGGCATCGTTTGAAAATTGTTAGAATTAAAATATAATTCAATCCTCATGAACTGTGTCAGAGGCAATTAATTAATTAATTAATTAATTGTAAAATAGTTCGATTTTATAAGAACAACATTATTTAACGGCCATCACAAATTAAAGGTCAGAATAGGTCAGCTGGGCCTGCCCAATATCTATCTAATCTATTTGTGAACGAACGGGGTTAGTCGTACGGCCGTACGATCTGTCTGTGCAGAGTGTGGAAAAATAGTTATTAAAGGATTAATGAAAGCATTATAGATAATACACTGATTGAATATTAGCGTAATTTTGTAGTATTTCAATAAAAAATGGCTGCACCTGCCAGAATATTGAGTCGGTTTTATGGTAAGTTAAACTTATATAATTCAGTTACATACATATTTTTTTAAATGCTTAGAATAACTAGTGCCTAATAGGGCACTTAATTCAACTAGTTTTAATTTGAATTAGTAATATAATTCAAGAATTATAATTTTAGTGAAAATAACCTCAACGACCTCTTGGACAAAGTACAATTAGATTAAATTGTTTTTATTTATAAATATTTTAACTCTCCTTATTGCAATTATTTTTAGCCGATGGACTGAAACTGGGATTCTCAATTCGTTTTAATAGCTATGATGCCACAAGGAAGAATTTGAAATTAACAGCACAAACAAAAGTGATCTGTCAAGGGTTCACCGGAAAACAAGGAACGTTTCACAGTAAGCAAGCTATCGAATATGGCACGAAAATGGTTGGGGGAGTGTCTCCCGGAAAAGGAGGAAAGACTCATCTAGATTTGCCAGTATTTAACACTGTGAAAGAGGTTTGTAGATATTTTCATTGATAAATTGTCATAGTTAAAACTCTTAATATTATTTATTCTATCAACTTAGTTTGTGTTACTTGTAACCCGTGTAGAGTTTTGCATATACATTTGTATAGATTGTGTATGCCTAATCTAGAAGCAACGTAAATATTTATTAAATGTATATAAAAGAACCAATTAATTTAATTAATATTTCAAGGTTAAACAGTTTTATTCTGGTTAATTAAAAGAGTGTTGGTTAATTTATGTTAACAATTAAACACATATTAGATAATATGATAAATCTATTGATCACAGATTTATCAGTGTTGATAAAAAGTATGACGGAGGGATTCTTTTGTACTGGCAATGCAGGTACAAAATACAAAGATCACAAAATATCAATTTTTTTTTTTTACTGCTGGAGTCAAATTGGAGCAATATTTGTTTGAAACTAAGTCTGTAATTAAAATATTTTATGTAGCTTTGTTCGATCTAATTAAGCAGGCACTAATTAAATAATTTGAAGTGGTTAAATGCCACACAATTAATATCTGTTAAGATAATATGAAACTACGTAAACAGAACCTCAAAGTAAAGATTTATGATGTTATCTGAAGGTTGCAATAGTTTTCATATCAATGAGGTGGAAGTAAACTTTTAATAAAATTTACAGAATTACTTTGTAAACCATAAAGTCATGTTATATTTTTTAATTTACTCTTGCCACCTATTCACATGTTACCATTAAATGAAATAATATACATATAAAACTTGTAACATTCTACTACTGACATCTATTGACATGAAGTCCAACTAAAATCTGATATCACTGTCTTTCTTTTATTTATTAATAGAGAGAGAGAGATAGGAGTTAGTTAAAGAAGAAATTGTCTGTAGTAGCAGTCTAGTCTAGTACGTCACAAGGTTTACGACAATGGCATAAAATTTTAATAGAAACTTTTAAAATCAAATAAATATTTATGTAAGGAATTTATGAAATTACTTGGAAGTTCACATTATTTCACTGCATTGAACTGCACTTCCATCTAAATCTTTTAACTTTTCAGGCTCGGGCTGCCACTGGCGCAGACGCCACAGTCATCTACGTCCCACCACCAGGCGCAGCTGCAGCTATTTTAGAAGCGATAGATGCGGAAATTCCCCTAATAGTCTGTATAACAGAAGGCATCCCTCAGCATGACATGGTTCGAGTGAAGCACAGGCTCCTCCGTCAAGCCAAATCTCGTCTCATCGGTCCTAACTGTCCTGGAATCATTGCCCCCGAACAATGCAAAATCGGTATTATGCCAGGACATATTCACCAGAAGGGTATCATAGGAGTCGTCTCCAGGTCTGGTACCTTGACCTATGAAGCTGTCCACCAGACTACACAAGTCGGATTGGGACAGACTCTCTGCGTAGGGATCGGTGGGGATCCCTTTAACGGAACTGATTTCATTGACTGCCTAGAAGTCTTCTTGAACGACCCCGATACTAAGGGCATTATACTTATCGGGGAAATCGGAGGTGTTGCCGAGGAGCAGGCTGCTGAATATCTCATGAAGCACAACTCAGTAAGTTATTTTATGCAGATATCAAATGAAATATTCACGGACACGTTTATTTAAGTTATAGAACTGTCTCACAAAATGAAAATAGGTTAAAAAATTTGGAACTCATATTTTTTCATTTTTACCTTGTTTATGTCCAAAAAAAATTAAAATACCATTTTAGCTTGCCAACAAACATTTAGTGATTTTCTCAGTTTTTTGCTTAGTGACGTACACTTAAAATATAAAAAATTATAAAAAAAATTAACGATTTAAATTAACTGATTCCGTCACCGAAAATATATACTTTTATGAAACATACTTACTATTGCTTATATTTTTAGGGTACAAATGCGAAGCCGGTTGTGTCGTTCATTGCCGGTCTGTCAGCCCCTCCAGGTAGACGTATGGGCCACGCTGGCGCTATTATCTCTGGCGGAAAAGGTGGAGCGCAAGACAAAATTAACGCTCTAGAAAAGGCCGGGGTCATAGTAACGAAGTCGCCCGCTCAAATGGGCAACGAACTCCTTAAAGAAATGCGTCGTTTAGGATTGGTGTAAATGCGCTGGAATTTTACTCATTAAAATGAAGGCTATTTATGTGTCAACTAATACTGTATTATAGTTGTATAGCCTTTTAATGTAATGTTTTATTTGCTTTACACACGTATATTATGTATATTCCAAATTCCACTTGTTAATAAAATTTTATGTTTTCATTATATTTTTTATTGTAGTTTTTGAGTTCTTACTTTTGTGTGTCTGTTCTTACTTTTATGTGATTCTTGTTCAAGTATTAAAATGTATCTTCTCTATTAAACTCGCACAAACTTTTGGCACAACTTGTGCACCAGATTTCTTTCACTCAAGTCTCTTCTACGTTTCCTCAAATTCCTTCAACTTAAATTTCCTATATTTTGTGGCTTTTGATTGTTGAAACTATCAGATTAATTATAACAAATTTATTTATTCTTTGTTTCCACTACAGTATGAGTTCTTGTTTTTAAATGTTTTTATTTTGCAATTTCATGCCTAGCAATAGAACTTGGAAGAAAACACCACCAGTGTTGTTTTAAGCACGTAAGTCCTAAATTAAAAAAAGTTTTTTGTTCAAAGAAAAAAATTGCAGATTCATCTAGACCAGCGGTACTCAAACTGTGTTCCGTGGAACCCTGGGGTTCCGCACAACCTCTCTGGAGGTTTCGCGACTCGATAAAAAATTTAAAATATTGTCGATAATTACAAAATTCAAAAAAATTTATACTCTTAAAACTTTTTATTTTTATAGTACACACGAATAAGTTACTATAAGAGATTTAGCTATTTATGCAGTGCAGTGTTCTTCGCGTTGGTTACGTCGCCTTTCCCTTTTCCCTGCTGGCCAGGCAATAAATGTATTAATGTTTTTTACGTACCTACCTGTGCGAAAAATCATTTTCCATGTACGTAGCGACAAAAACAAAGTATCGCAATGCGCTAATGCAAAATTTGAAATGCGATTGTACCTTACGACAATAGTACCTGATTTTAACATATTATGTAAAAATATTCAATAGGTGTCGTAAGTCGTAAAAGTTTGAAAACCGCTGATCTAGACCAGTGGTTTCCAAAGCGTGGGTGTAGCATTGCTTCTTTTCAAAAACTAATTTCTAATATCTTCATTCTTCAATTTTAGTTACTGCAAAGTTATTAATTCAATTTAACTTAGTTTTTAGACAGTTTTGAGAAATAGAGGATCTGTATTCGGGAATACAGGTCTGTTATTTCCCAATTCCAAGTTACTTGTCGGTTTAGTTTTGATAACGGGTAACAAAATAATTTCTTATCCTTCAATTCAAAAGTGATGTCAATCTTGTAAGGAAAATTCTTATTTTAACATTCTATCAGCACATACTTCAAAAATTCGTTAATTTAGACTGAATTTACTTTGGTAGTCATCACCGTCTGCAAAATACTCAAGGATGTTTCAAACTGAACAAACTTAATCTGCAATAAGCGCAATTTTTTAGTTAGGGTGGTTACAAATTTACTCTTACAAAAATATAATGCTGTTGGCTTTTCTCAAGCCCCGTAATTCGGGGCTTGAGAAAATTTTTTTTTTGCGCTATCAAAAATGCTTCAAAAAGTGTGCATTTACAAATAAAAATAGATACAATAAATTTATATATTTATCTAAAAAAATATATGATTATAAAATCATCTACATGTATATATAATTTATATGCGTATACAGGATGTTTCACTTCAAGTGAATCAAACTTTAACCACAAATAGAACTCAATAAATAATTCAGAATTGCCTTATAAAGCAAGGGTCTAAGTCTCACCGTTTTCACTGTACAGGACCGTATTGGTCGGTTATTAAAATCATATTAGTTACGAAATTTTTGGTATGCTTATAACAAATTAATTCAATACGGCCCTATACAGTGAAAACGGCGGGACTGAGACCCTTGCTTTATAAGGCAATTCTGAATTATTTATTGAGTTCTATTTGTGGTTAATGTTTCGAACTGAAACACACTGTATTTAAAATTATATATAATTATATATGTATAATTTTTTTTCCTCCGGGTAATTATTTTAGTTCAAACTACATGCTGCGAAATGCTCAAGATAGCTGAGTACCAAATCTCGATTAGAAAAAAAGATACTTTTTTCAAAACTTTTCGTGAAGAGTACACTCGAACGGATCCACTGATTTTGATGGGATTTACAGCATTCAGTGTAGTTTTTTGAGCTATAGCTCCTAGATAAATGATCTATAGCTTCCTATGATCTCAAAAAGTCGAGATCTGATGAATAATCGATTTTCGAAAATCGGCCTGAAATCAATAACTTTATAGCGGAAAGTCAAAAAGTATTCTGAACCCTCATCCATTTTGTGTAGAATATGGGTAATGGGGCAGCATTTTTTACAATGCCCAGGGCGGCACTAAGGGAAAATCCGACCCTGGGTGGAGGGGAGGCAAGCAAACATCTGATCTGAGAGAGGGTCGCAACTTCAAAAAGTTTTGGGGACCACCGCACCAAGGTGCAAGTTGTGGTTTTGATTTTTTACTAAATTTTAATGTGTTAAGTGACTAATAAAAAATTTTGTCTAGAAAATATCTGCAACATTTGTTCTCTTAAATTCATATGTGTTATTTGCTTTTTCCAAAGCTTTGAGGGCAAGAAGATATGCTATTTTTCCATTATTTTGTGTCGTGGAAAGTCCATTTGAGTTTTCCCTTGTATACATCAGTACCTACCATATCACAAAAATGACCAAAAAGTTCATTCATAATTGTACTTATTAGATTTCATCATGGGCGTAGCAGGGATGTGCACGGCCCACCCTAGAAAGCCCGGTGCCCACCCCAAAAAAAAGATCTAATATTATCATCTTTGTCATATTGGTAAGTTGGTGACTGCGTGACTTTTTTTGGAATCAAATCAAAACGTGTTCAAATTTTATACCGGTAAGTCGTTGATTGCGAGCCTATTTAAGGGTTCTTCATAGAGCTTGCAGCTATGGACCCACCCACCCTAAGCAAAAATTGTAGCTACGCCCATGGATCTCATTCAAAATAAGTTTCATAAATTTTTTTGTTTTAGCTTCAAAAGGTAACTTTGGCTTTCAAAAATGCCAATAAATTAAATATTGTAAACTGCACACGAATACAGCAGGGCAAAGGAAAATCGATAGAATTTTTAATTTCCCGGTTATAATTTCCTAAAAGGAATTATATGTGACGATAATCGTGAGGTCTATGCAAACGAATTATTTCATTATCTAAGCAATTGTTTTTTCTATTTCTAGACGTTTGATAATGTATATTCCTAGCATTTACCTAATGAGATGGTTAACTGCGACGCCGAGCAAATCTGATACAATATCGTACACCCCTTGTATGTATAACGACCCTTCAGAATATCAGAGTATAACTAATATCTCACACAAACGTATGCTCTTGACAACTGTAATTAATATTACACAGCAAAAGCATAATCTTTGCATTCCTCAAAGGATTCAACGAAAACGGTATTATTGATTTTATAAATTAAGTCTATCAGGAAATTCAAAGACAGTTGTGATGCAGGGCATTGTCTGGCATACAAATAAGGAATTGTGCAGGCATTATAGACATATACCACCACTTAGTGAATTAATTAGTCGTTCTACTTTGAAATACGTATAAGGTATTAATTTGCGACTACCAAAGGGTAATAATTAAAAGGCATCCCCCTTTAAAAAAATTGGACTGGTTGCAGCATACGCAACGTAATTTAAAACCCAGCGTGTGTGCACCGTTTCCATTTTTATCATTACTGACATCAAAGCCTACGGTCTCGGCAAAATTGAATAGTTGATTATCTGTTTGGGGGAGTTATCAACTAACAAATTGGATGTAAAATGCAAAAATCTTGACTTGACAGACGCTCTCCGGGAGCCGATTCAAATATCTTCTTTGAAATCCTTCCTTATTGATTACTGCTTCTCTTACGGTCGGGAAATTACCTTCTGTTTTTAACTGGATGAATGCCTGTTCTATAGTAAATCATGACTGTTTTAGAATGTCGAATAGAGCTGTAAGCCTGCTACGGGGAAAATGAGATAATTGGAGTTTCAGAAAGCTGATTATGATTTGTTGTATCCATGGCAAAAGCTAATTAAGCCACAAATACGTCTGATTAGTGTACGCGATGTAACAATACGTTACGAAAATAATTGTTTTATTCACATTTTCACATGTTCAAACCGAGCTACATAAAAGATAGATATTTTAGAAAACTATCTGATAATCTTAAATAAAAAACTCTCATTTATGTCTTCATAGGGTCAGCAGTTTGTCCAATGTTCATTGTAAACGAATAATTAAGATTAATGACGCTAGGATACAGGGATCTTAAGTTAACAGTGCCAGTTATGCAGTGTTGGTTGCCTAAACTCGCCGGTCACGCCGCTTGTAATCATTTATGAATTAAAATTACATATACTTTCACAATTATTCATAAATTACTAATAATTTACTTTGTTTAATTAAAATGTCATTTAAAAATGCCACTCTTATATATTTGTACAATTAAACCCTCTTTGCGAATATATTAATATATAATATATATTAATTTCAGTTCCGTAAATCTGATTACATTGGGTTAATGTGTGTAATTGATTAGCAATTTAGGTTCCCATGCCAACGACGCCATAAAACATAGAAGTAAACATTATTTTACACGTTCAACAAAATGTTTCGTGTCGAGAAAGTTTCCAACTTATGTATTTTACTGCGCTAAATATTGTAGCATCGTTTTGTGTCTCGCTGTTTGCAATATTTTTAATGTACGTTATTCTGAAGATAAAAAGAAAGAAAAACGGCGCCCCAGTTAGTTTAAAGTACTTAGAGAAAGACACTTTGGTGCTGTTCACAACGAATTCCGGAGTGTGTCTAAGAGAATACCAAGAAAAACAGTCGATCAACTCGAATCTCTGGAAATTTAAGATGAATGCAGGACCTCAGTATAACAGACGATTGTGTGATATCGAGGTGGAAAACTGTAATCGTTTTTAAGTTGTATGGGTATGTTAATGCAAATTAAACGCATATTTCCTTCCACAGTTGTTAAAAAGTTTATTTTGATTTATCTCTCTTTCGAAAGGGGAGCACTTTTTTATATAATTGAGTTTTTCTATTTATCTAAAATTTCTTTTCTTGATCACAATCTATTCTTCACTTAACATTATTGTAATTTTGGGTAAAAAAGTTCATTAAATTTGATTGTGACTTATTAATATCCACATTCGTGGCGGGTATAGGGGATTTTAATGTGTCTAATGCTAATGTTATGTAAATGTCACTTTTGCCTGCAGGCACAAATTACAAGTTTGAAAGAACTATTTCAGATTAGTGGTAGGTATATTGGTAAACGCATTTATCACGCTCTACGTAATTTTACTGCCTCTAATCTGGAAATTCTTACTAATTACACCGTTATTAGTTCCGATAGTGAGGGGGAAGTTTAATAAGTACGACACCTCTTAATTATTGGTAATAGATATTAGAATATACTTTTAGATAAACTCTAATAACTTTTTACATAGTCCACCAGACGCCTCTGCCTAAAAACAAATTTAGTTATATCAGAATAATCGCTTTGCAGGTCCTTCAGTAAATTTTCAAAAACGTTCTTATGTGTACACAAAGTATTGCTCATGATTAGGCGATCCTTAAAATTTCAACTCGATCCGTTGAACGGTTTTCAAACTATATGATTTTTAATATGCGAATATTAGTCTCAGCCGTGGCAATGCAATGACGTCACCGCATGGGACGGTCAGCCGGCTTGACGCTACTTCCAGATGAATTTCTACATCTACAGAATGTTTTAGCGTTTGTGCATATTAAATTAAAAAATACAATATTTGTAATTTTTTTCTTTTCTGTGTCTTCCATATTGCTAACAAAATTCGGTATCTTAACGTGCTCAATCGAAACTTAACAGTCAATTAAAACCCGACTACCCGACTGACTGACAATAGACGCAAGTATGCGGCATCGGTTTCCCATGAGGTGACGTCACACCCGCCGGTTCAGTGGATAATCAGCGCACCTGTTTATGATTTTTGTTGGGTGACTTGTAGGCGATATAAAATTCAATTTTTTTGCAGAGAACCTTAAAATAGCAGTATCTTTCCGTTAAGCAAATAAAAAAAATGCTGAATGAGCCCATTATTTTGTGCTAAAATATGAATTGTTCCGATTTCAAATAATAATAATAAATAAAGTCAAACACGTTGTAAATATCTGAAGGCTGCTATTTATAAAACAAAATAACTTAAATCCAACGTCAAATGAGATTTATTTGACATTTCCGTGTTTACTTAACATTTGAATTGTTTTTCCACCCTGTATAAATGCATACAGTTGTTGCTCATCTATTAATAAACAATTTAAAGGTAGGTAAATATCGATATCTTATCAGATCTGTTAAAATTTTCGGTGTTCAGATAGTCCGGCATATAGAATCGCAGGTAGCGAGTGGGGCGGCATTTTCGACACAACCGCGGTTTAATTAATATTTAATATAATGCTCAGCGTTCCGTCTTGATACAGATTAGGTTCGAAAAAGTGAAAGCAGCACGATATTCAGCATAAAAAATTATAATATCGCATAGCCGTCGACTTTCTATCGATCTTTTTCTGGGCGATGTTTAGCCCAACTCATTTTATCAATGATAAAAACTAGCGATTGTTTTTTATCGGGCAGTCGTGCAAAAATAGAGAGCGGCCGACTAGCGCCGGTTGTAGTTTAAAATGTGGAATCGATAGTCGAAAGGTTTCTGTAATAAGTTTAGTAAAAATAATGTATAACGCACCACGTTATCATATAGTGCTGTATAAACTGTCTCATCCTTATCAGTAAGAAATGTTGAACAGTGTATCGAGTTGTATCTTCGTTTGGTGAATGTTCCTTAGGGATGCTTGTGTAGTTATCTCGTGAGACATTTATTTTGGTTGCTCTGCACGCCGCGTAACTTACGAAAAATTCACTGGTCTTGCTCGACCAATACCTGATGCGTTTGACAGTTGAGAGTGGGGAACTATTTTGAAATGGTGAGTAAAATTTTACAAACTATTCGAAGACTTGTAACACTTTTTCTATTGCTACTCCTGCTATCTACCATTAATATATCTCTTTTGTAAACATATTTATCTGTATTTTTATAACATAAACGTCTGAAGCAAACATATTTATTTAAACATATTGATTTGTTGTTACTCGTGGAAATAATAAAATGGCTGTTTATTTATGTGCAATTGTTTAAATTATATGCTGCAATAAAATATTCTTCCACGCGTGGATAGGCGGTTTGATCAATGTGTTCTGCAAGGTTATATTTGAGGCAACAAATATGTATCAGGTTATAATAAACAACATATTATACGTGTAAGGTAAAGGTCGTTTAATTTAATGAATAATTTTATCACGAAATAACAACTTGCATATTTAGATTAGTTTATTTATTATAAAAACTTTTAGTTTTCCTTTACGTTTGTTACTTTCACTTATTATTTTGCTCGCTACTTTTAACACACCATGATATATAAATAGCAATTGATATATACTTTGTGTTAATTGTTGTGGTCGATAACTTAATCACTTATTTAAAAATAATAAGAAACAGCACAAACCACTTTAAAATTTCCTGCTTTTATATTAAAATATAGTAATTTAGCTAATCTAAGGGTATGTTCACATTGGTAAATCAGACATTTCATGTATCAATTAGAGTAGGTACGTAACCTTAGTTTTGTTTTATAGAAATGTTTTATTGCTGACATATAAAGGTGGGTCCGTACTTTTACTTATATACTTGGCCCCATTTTTGAACGTGAGACACCAAAATATTCCTAATGCAGTTTCACATACTGTGCTGTTGATCCACTTCAAATTTTGTTTTAAGCCAACTTGTGAACTATGTATTATAGATAAAAATAATTACACATTATGCCAATAACTTTGTGATAACCCCTTTAATCTTAATTTTAATTATGTATCTAATTTTTTACAACTAATTATAGTTCAGTTTAACAATTTAGACTATATTTTATTGGAGCTGAGCTAAAAATATTATAAAGTAGCTCCGGTTGTATTTTACTGGCCTTTGGGTTAAAAAGTTGCGTTATTTTTCGAGTTTCGAGAACTTTAAAATTTATTTCTTGTTTACGATGTCTGCAAAATCCGAATTCAAGTAGCTTTTCTCTCAGAAGGTCTTGCATATCTCTAGGGACATTTTGGAGATGTTGCGCCAAAACAAGTTTCCTGGATTCGACCCTGAATTGGCATCCGAAAAATGTTAATTATTGGCTTCTTTGGCGCCACAAGATATCGCCGGACATCATATTGTTTATTTATGCCACATTCCGATTAAAAGTTGGCAGTTGTAGGGGAATGTTTAAACAAAATGCGTATTGTCGCTTGTTTACACGAGAACCCCCGATAAAAAAACGTACAATTTTTCCTGCGTGTGACAGTGTGGCAAATCTTAGCTCGTAAATAGATAAATAAGGGTCACTGAACGAATCACGATCTAGTGTAGTTGCAATACCGAGTGCATCTGTAAATAAAATAGTGTTGGTGTGTAAAAAGGACCGTTGGTGAGATGCCTGAAGATGGTACGGTGTCTCCAAGAAGGATAAGCCGTCGAACACGGGGCGAAAGAACCAAGAGGAGAGAACGATATTTATTATCTACTGGAAAAAATAATTGTGCTCTAGAAAACAATGAGATATCTCATGATATATCGGCTTCTTCTGGAGATTCTGCTATTTATTCAGTTGAGAACAACAACTGGGACAAATGTCAGCGGGTCGCGATGGGCAACAAAATCGTGGTAGATATGCTTTTATACTCTTACTTTTTTTGCTTTCACTTAGTTAATTATTTATATTTTATAAATACAATTTGCTTTCATAAATAACACTTAATCAATCATAAAAAATATTTTGCTTAAATATTGCACATTTACAGTTTTTTTTTTTGTTTAATTTATAAATGCTACAATTAGAACATATTTCCACATATTTATTTTGACTTTACCATCTTCTGAAAAGTGACGTGAACGCTCGTAAAATAAGTGCAGTGTCTTGTGTCTTGTGAGGAACCCGTTATGTTTAACTAAAACGCATGAAATTATTGAAATTTAGACCTAAAAAAGAACCACTGTTAGCCGTAATAATAGATTTAAGTTAACTGACACCAATTAAGTATTTGAAAGGAACCTTGCATAGAACTGGAAATAATACAAGAAACATAATTAGAAGACAGTATTGAATATTTATAAAAAGACCACGAGTTGTGTCAGGCTTTTGCGTGGAATAATTTCCCAACTACAGATAAGAAAGGGGACTGCAAGGAAAAACTTGAAGAGACTAGAAACAGAATATAGAATTACTGTTACAGATGAAAAACATGGTCGCAAACCAGAGATATAATTCAAAAGTACGGTGAAAAATCATAATGAATGAAATCAAAGAAGAATTTACTTGTTTACTACTCAAAATACCTAAATCCAACACTGGGATATGCATTTCTCAAAATGTCATGCCATTAGAAACAGTATTTTATAATATACAGGGTGACCCAGGACTGATGGTTGGTCGCTATTACAGGAGAACGAAAAGAGCAATTAAAAAACCGCAAGTAGCGATGTTTGTGGCATAATGATATAAATATTTAACTTAAGACATCTTAGTAAGTTTACCACTTTAAGGTTGTGACGTAATCGAAATTGTTTTTCTAGATGTCACACATAGGTATGAAAAATCTAATTTTTTTGAACAACTTTTATCTAAGAAGTTTTTGTATATCTCTTCCCGTTCAAAAGATATCAAATTAAACATATAGAGAAAAACACTGGTTTGATCAAGTCTGTTACTGATTTTATCAGCATTGCCGTGGAAAATGAAATATCTTCATTACTGCTAGTATCGAGTTCCCAGATTACCCAAAAGTCAGAACCGTATCTACTTTATTCATCATTTTTCATTAATTTTTTTAAATAGCTGTCGTAAATTTGCACAAAAACAATTGTGTCACAACGTGTCAGAAATAATTATAAACACTGAAAGTATCTTGTTTTTCACGGCAACGTTGAAGTCAAAAAAAAAACACACTTTTCAAAACATGAATCTGAATTGACCGATTCAGTTTTTCGGTCATATCTTTTTTAGCTTATTCAATTGTTTTTTTATATGTGAACGATAATGCGGGTCGCCCTGTACATCTAAGAACAGTCGTTGGAGCAAGTCGGAACCAAAATGGCCCCCCTAGCATATACTTGGATTACATAAGCGTACAAACCAAAGTATGATTAGAATTGACCTACTACTAAATAATAGAAAACATATAATTTACACGACGAGGATATCTGTAAGGTTTCCACAGGCCGACGCATGGACTAAGAACGTTGACGTTATTCCTGTGGCTTCTGTAAATCTATCTTGAGCCCATGAAATATAAAACTTTACAATGTTGGGGATAATCTACAGGTAGAGAACGGTGCGGCATAAACGACCACGCCGGTTTAATAATTCAAGTAGCTATTACATGAGAATGAGAAGGAGTTTACAAACAGTTGTGTCCACGATATAGTCATTTGCCGGCTATAGGGTGGACGGCGAAACATTAGAGAGATGAAATAATTAATAGCGGAATCTAGGTCACTCGCACCGAAATATGATTGTAGAACCAGATATCCGGAAATTCGTGAAATATACAGGGCGTTTCCTTAAAGTGGTAGATCTCCTATAACTTTTACATCGAATGTGTGATTTTTTTTGGGGCGCCAAATATGCCATAATTGTTAGTTTTTGACCATCTCCTTTTTAGGGTATAGGGTCATATAACGTAAAATTAAAATATCATATTTTACTACGAACAAGTGGCTTTTTAGACATTAATAAGTGATTTTTTGCCATAAGTATATGCACTTAGCTAGATGCAATTATTAACGTTGTCTCTAAAATTTCCCTCCATATTTAAAACGTTACAAGTAAAATCAAGAATCTATAGGATGATTCATAACTTCTCCTAAAAACAGTGTTGAATATACAGGGGACTCTTGCAAATACAATTTTGTAAAAAAAAAACATCAAAGAGGGCAATTCGAAATGATTTAAATATATATTTCTGCATGGCACTGGAAACTGGCCCACTGTATCTGACCTTACGCAAGGCGAAGCATGCATTCCCAAGGAAAGAAATAAATAAAATTCTATATCACCTATTTTATATCAGAAAATTCAATTACTCTTGACGCTATTGTTATTATTAATTAATAAAACTGTTCAAAATTTTATTTGGGCCCGTCTTACCAGTTTCTACGACCTAACACAAATATTGTCTTCACCATAAATTAAAACGCGATCTGAGTTGCTATACACGTAAGCCATTTTTGACGACACTTGAAAAACTAATGTAAACACTATCACAACGGTAATACTAAAATCGGATTTCAGTATTCGGAATCGCCTGGGGCTACGTGGGCGAATGACGCTAGAGACTACGGTAGCCCAGCGATGTAAAGGTTGAAAATACTACAACTTCAGTAATTTTTTCGCGCTAAAAAAATATCTAGCTACCGCTATAAACCTTTATAATTTTTAAGTTAATCATCTAGTTACCTCTAGTAGAAGAAACTTTTTCTAAACGCCTCTGTTTGTATCAGAAAATTCGGGAGCTTGCGTTGAAGCGTTTGAGGTAATGAAGTTTTTTGAGCACCCCGTATTGATTCCGGACTGTGTCCCTTTTTGTGCCTGTTGTTAATCATCTCGCATGAGTTGCCAAAGAGGTTAAAAATAAACAACCTAATCCAGTTAAAGTGTAACTTGACCTACCCTTACACATGTAAATAAAAATCTGCTACCCTCGCGTAATATGTCTTCTCCCCTCCAGCTTTCTGAGACCTCATTAACTTTACCTGGAAGCCGACATTCCAGTCACCGTGCGACATTTTACTCGTTACGATTCAAGTTTTCCAGTAAAATAAAATGAGAAGCGATCGGGACGAGCGAGATACACCTGTGGGGGGGAAAGAGGGCCGCGAAAAAAAAGTAGTAGTTCCGCCGAAATCCCCAAAGCTATCCAAGACGAGAAGGTCCCACTTTCTCATTAAAAAACTCAAGCTCAGGTCTAAATTCACTCCGAGTAGTGCCTCGCAGTCTGAAATAAAGGATATTGCTAATTTAGGCCTGCCAAGTATCTCGTCAGGCTCTTCTACTATCGAACGGCAGACCCCCGAAGGGGATGATAATTTCATTTTAACGAAATCCGCATCTGAAACAAATTTACAGGAAACGTGGGAGAGTGTCGAAAATTTAACGAAAGATAACAAGAAATCTTCAACAAAAAGTGCTGTTACTGTTGAATGTAATCAGTTTTATTTAAGTTCGGAACAAAAAGGCTTGCCGGAACGTACAAAGTCTTTGGAAGATATTAAAGATATGCCTGCTTATGGTGAGCTTATATTGGATCAGGCCCCGTCAACGGTAATTTATTAATATTTATCAAGTTTTTCAGAACCAACGCAAAACGAAAATTTCATAAATTTTTGCTTAGCGATATTACTTCGATTCTAATTATTTTAACAACCTTTCCAACCTATAAATTATTGGAATATCAGTAGATAATTTTTGCAGTACGATTTAAGATTAAGATAACAAGGTTTATATCCAATCTTATCGGAAAATTCACACCACCAAAGCATAATTCAAATTTTATATGCAAATACACAGTAAGTACTTTTTTCAGTATTTTAGTTTTAATAATTAACTTCAATGTCTAGACCCGCATATGTTATTATGTTTATATTTCAGTTGATACACAATTAGTTTAAGATTAAGATAAAAAGGATACATTTTTAACAAAACGGTTTAAATTGTCAAAACTGAAGTGATTCCTAGCTGACAAAAAGATAACAAAACTGCTTATCACCTTTTACGGAATAATGAAATTGAATTGTTAATAAAATCTAATTAGCACAAAATATTTATTAAAAACTTATACGTACCATAAATTATAAGATTAATAGATAATATAACGATTTTTTATCTATGGTATATGAATATTTCGTGTTTTATTTCGCTTTCCAGGGAAAGAGGGAAATTGGAGGTATTCGTTCTTTGAATAAAAAAAAAGACTTCCTTTCCAAAAAATGTATTTTTTGTTGTTAGTTTGCAACGTAACACCTTGTATATAACTTATTTAAAAATCAAATCACGCTCTTTAGACTCTCAGAACCGAATTTCAATACGGCATGTCGAACATTGTCGAAATACATTAAAAAATAACTTTAAGGAAAAAAAATCTTATTTTTAATAGAAATTCTATAGCCCGTAGAATTTATGATACCTTATCTAAAATACCGCGTATTCATTAAATTATTTTTGTAATTAAAGGTATTAAATAATTTGACTAAATGAAACAAATTGTAATTAATAACCTCATCCTCATAATAATGAAAATTTCTACTTTATAATTTAATTTGAAATCATATCTACATATAACTAATGTATAAACAATATTGTGCATACCAGTCATTAATTCTTATATTTATAATTAGTATGTATTATGCACATATTTGCATTTACTGAAATTACATTGTTCATTATATATGTATTGCTATAGCAGTTGTTAAAATGTTTCCAAAATGTAATTGATACGCTATTAGTGTTATTAAAGTACCTAGTTTACATCACCTTTATCAATTACACGAACTACTAGCATGAAGAATAATTAACAGTTAACCATAAAAAACCCATACATTTGTAGTTTTGTATTTCGAATATTAATTTTAAAATTCAACCAACGGATATTGTGGTAGTTCTGTGATACTGGTATTCCGTCCCTTCTACCACGCCTGTTTATAGACTTATACGGCCTATGAAAAGTAAATAAAAATATGATAGATTAGACCACCATACTCACACGTTTTTGGGGTCGTTGAATCCGAATCCGATATTCAAGGTTATTTGAAGGTCAACTCCTGTTTTTTACGGTAATACAATTTTTGTCGCCCGGATTCTGAAAGAGCGAGAGTCTTTACTTTACTACGAAAAATCATTCTTCCCGTCTTTTTATTAAAATGACCTTTAGGGGATTTGACCTTAAAATGACCTTGAAATTCATAATTGACTTCCAAATGTAAAATTGCTCGCTCTTTCAGAATCCGGGGTCAAAAATTTTATTACCATCAAAAAACAATAGTTGACCTTCAAATAACCTTGAATATGGCTTTAAAAAAATTCAAAAGCATGTGGATATGATGGTTTCGAGGATGGTTTAGTCTATCACACAATGATTTTTATTTATTTTTACGCCGGCTTCGACATAAGGCTTTCATAAGCTTGGTCTTAGGTTTGTACGAATCCGTTTGGTTGGGCTCGCCCATCAAACCGACGATAAAGAAAATAAATAGTACTCAGTCGAGTTATTTAGATTTATATCTCCTTTATTAACTATTCTTTTTTCATTGTTCTATTTCATAACCATTTTACAAATTATAGAACTACTTTATTATTAAACAATTTAATTTAATCTCTGGATCTGATTTATTCGCTGTGCTTGCGCCGCATAATATTCATTCGCCATACTTTACGTTGAATTAGAATCGGGCGTTGTTTTAGAACATTTATTTCGTATAACGATTCTTTTCAGAACGTCTAAATACGGTTGGCACTAGAGGAGCATCATCTATCTTTAAAGAACAGTTTCTATGCACCGTACATTTTTTATACACGAAGCGCCGTGATGTATTGCGTGAAAACAACTATTAATTTCAGCTGATTATAAAGAACTGTGACGGGCGAAATAAAAGTTTCGTTTTAATCAGAAATCCTACCGAAGCCGGCTTATATGAACTTTTGTATCATTACATATATCTCTTTTACCCACTGATCATTACATCACGGTTTTATTAGCTGAACACCCTGTATGGAGACGGACCGTATGGATCATATTAGTAAGTTTTCGACGGAATATGTTCCGTGGCATTCCATTAAATTACAATTTCGTAAAGAATGTTGTTTACATTAATTAACTGGACAAAATTATCTCATTACCTACAAAATTAACTTAAAAGTTCATGCACGGCATTGCTTCGTGGCATAACACCAGAGAACTTCATAATTGCTTTAACAAAACATTTCCGAACAAGGGAGAGACGATGGCTACACAGAATTCCTACAGTTTAATGCGGTGAACATAATATTAAATATTAAATCGTAAATTTCGTATGTTCACTTAATAATAATTGGAATCCCGTTGTTAGATAGCGATAGGGCGTTTCCTTTTAGAATAAGGTGTTGATCTAATTAAGTCGTCAATTGATATTGTAAAATTAGCGACACTTTTGAATTCCGAATGTTAATTATAAATACGAAGGTACACTTCTATCAATAACGCAGCAGTAATAAAATATACGTAACGAATACCAGTAATAGAAATCGAACTCTCTATTCAAGGTTTAGAAGAAAATTAATATTACCGTTCCTTAAGGTTATCAGATTTCAACCATTATTCGAAAGTAATATGTTTGGTTCTCTCAAAGGGAAATAATTATTCTGTGATGGCGTATTCTCGGAAGAGTTGCCTGAAAATTGAAAAAATATATCATTGCATGCTGATTTCAGAGGGTTCGAACAAATAAAACGAAATGATAAAGAATATAAAGATATATGTTTATAGTTGGATCAGCGGCGGCTCGTGACATTATGAACAGGTGAGGTCAATGGCTTTTTTACTAGGTGGGCAAGAAAGAAAAAAAAAGCCGCAGGCAAAAATTTTTTAATTTTCGAGGTCAAACGACTAAATGCATCTGGAAATTTTTATGTTTATGACCAGGATTTTCATTCAGATTTTATAAAAACTATTTGGTTATTTTATTAAAATGCTCTCAAATAATAAATAGGAATAAATTTCCACGTCAAAATTATATTAAAAAATTGTATTTACAACAAAATGAAGTAACAGAAAAAAAACAAAGTGATATATTTACCTAATAATTAACAAAATTGTTCCATTTGGTTTATGAATATTAAAAAATATGAAAAAATATAAAAACAAATTTTCATAAGGCAGCCAGCGAACTTATCTATTTGCCAGCTTTTCGTTTGCCCTCACCTTTAACAAAATATTTTCAAAACAGTGAATATTTTTGTAAAACTGATTTATTCGTCCGTCTTTTAAATTTGCAAATTTTCTTATAATGTCTTCATACAATTGAGGATCGGCACTAGGACTTTGCAACAGTTCTTTTTCTATCGTCATCACTGATAAGTTAACATTTGTATCTTTCCGAAAATACCATTTGAAATTCCTTGTATAATATTTCTATCGTTTCTTGAACTTCTAAATTACGAAATTGTCCGTCTCTGTACAAAATATTAGGTTCGTTTTTCAACCTATCTATTTCAAAAACGTTTGGATACATTTGTAATAAACGATTTTTCGGGAAATTTGTTTGCATATTCGGGAAATTTTGAGGAATCTATTAAAGCAAAAGAATAAACTTTTCCCAAGTTTACTTAGTAGTCCAGTAGCCTCTGTTGCTTCATACGAGCCGCCACTGAGTCGTATCAAGCGTATGTCGACTTTGAAAAAATTCGAAAGGTCGGCAAAATTAAGTTGCGACGCATCTGTTTAATGAAGTTAAAGCTTTCTCGTTTTGGAATTAAAGATATTGCTCTGAAAAAAACATATAATTTACCCGCTCAAAGCAGCAAGGCAAACAAATTTAATTTACAGTATTTATTAAGGTAAATAATTTTCTATGTAAGGAACAGGCGACAAATATATTATTCGAAAACATTTTTGTAAACGTATTTGTCTCGTTGAAATTTTGTTTATCAAACAAATAGGCTTCATTATGACGTGTTTTGATAAAATCCTCATAAACAGATATATTAAATATCTAATTATGTAGATTTCAAATATATTTACAATTTTTTCGTTTCAGTCAAATGCAAATCAAACCACTAGCAAGCCCAGGGATCATTTGTACAAGATTTTGGTGATAGGGGACCTAGGCACTGGCAAAACATCCATAATCAAACGTTACGTCCACCGGTTCTTCACGCAACATTACAGAGCCACCATCGGCGTTGATTTCGCTCTGAAAGTGCTCAACTGGGATGAAAACACTCTCATCAGGCTTCAGCTGTGGGACATAGCAGGTAAAAATTGTGTGTGTACAATTTTTATTACACTAACATATTTTTTGTGCGATTTTAGGGCAAGAGCGCTACGGCAACATGACAAGAGTGTACTACAAAGAAGCGGTAGGTGCCTTTATAGTGTTCGATGTCACGAGAAAAAACACCTTCGATTCTGTGACCAATTGGAAAACAGATCTGGACTCGAAAGTGCAGCTACCTGATGGTTCCCCCATACCTTGCGTTCTTCTAGCCAATAAGGTGCGTGTTACACTTGAAAAAAAATTGTATTTTAAGGCGTTTTTCTTTTACTTACAGTGCGATCAGCTGAAGGAGAGCTTAGCGAACAACAAGAACATGGAGGAGTACTGTCAAGAGAATGGATTCGCAGCTTGGTTCGAAACGTCCGCTAGGGACAACATCAACATAGACGAGGCGGCTAGAGCACTGGTAGAAAAGGTAGGGCTATTATTTACATACCTAAAAAGTAACAATAACTTAATTATTAAACTTCGGTTCTCTTTTTTAGATTTTGGAGCAAGACGCGTTGTTGAACAGCGAAGCAAAGAAGGGTTCTGGCCAATTCTCCGTGACGTTAGACTCGAATGATCAAAAAAACGGTAGAAAATCGTGCGCCTGTTGACGATTTTAACAAAGCTGAGGTGTGGTTGTGGTAATCTTAACACCTATATGCATAGACATTGTTGTACATATACAATCATATTAATTTTAAATCAGCTTTCATTCTTTGTACTTAAGAAATCATAGGTTTATGTTACATTACAATTTGGTATTTTATAAAATAAAAAAGTTTTAAATTATAGCTTGTTGTTACTTTATGTACGCCTGATATGAGTTAAAAGAAGTAGTGGTGCATAGTTAATATATTTTTTTTATTTTAATTCAAAACAAATAAGTCCTCAGGTCTCTGAGGCCTAGATAAGAAGCCAGGGAATGTGGATACATTGTTTAATGCTCATGCATTTGAATAAATGTTTATATAACTACAAATTGTGTCAGATAAAAGAGATAATTTGGAAGAAAAATAAATCTTTCGCTCAGTTTGTGTGTAGCGTCTGTTACAACGACAATAAAATGGTGAGATTTATTGTTGAACATAAATTTGTAGTAAATATACAAATATGTTTAGAACGAAAATTATAATGTTTGATGTATGTCCGATAAATTGATCGTAACCTTCCCAGCAACATTTTTTATTCGGATCTAGAACGAGGTGTTGCAACCACCGAAAATTGTTCTTGTTCAAAACAAACGATGTCACAATTGTCATTTAAAAACGTTGGATTTGATCTCCTATCTACTTTAACTAGTCTGTGGCTTCAAGTGTACGGAAAATCGGATATCTAATACATTAGATGTGTCAAAGGTGCGACCATTATTTTATATGGTACACGGTTGAGAATATATGCCCCACTCAAATTTCCTTTCAAATAAAAAATACGAAAGTTACACACCCTCGATCAAATCAAAGGCATTATAAAAATGGACTTAGATTTTTATTTATAAACTGGTTGCAAAAATTTTGGCATTGAACTCGAGGGTTTCTTTGGGATACTTTGGGCTTAAAAAAACGGAAATGTCCTTATTTGTGAAGTTATCTCAAGTTTAGTGAAACTCCTTAAATACGCAATTTTTTAATCAAGTTTCTTGTATCAAAAAACCATAAGGACGTCTTGTAGAGGATACTTTACAATTTTCAAAACTCTGTTTAGACTTTCTATGTGATCATTAGTAATTAATTATCAAAGCCAAAAGGGGCATTTTTTCCTTGAACGACGATAACTCAGCAGAAAATCATCGTACGAAGTTCTTGAATGAACCGAACTAAAAAAGCTGATAAGTGGAATTGCCATAAAAATGTAGTGAAGCCCGTGAACCATTTGAAAGGGAAGTGAAATTAAAAAATTTTTTTTTGTCGCTAGATTTTTTTACGAGTTCTTAAAACTAGATACTTCAAGCTTCAATTTGCTTTATTTTTTTATTTCTTTTTTGCTAAGTTAGAGCCTTTTGAAAATCACCTAAAAATTTAGTTTTTTATTGAAAATTATATGATCATATTATTTTAATAAACCGGTTTATGATAATAATAAGTAAATACAATTCGCAATTTTTTAGATACCTCCATTCATTATACAGTGGGAAAATCTATCTGTAACGGTCACTGAAAAGCGGTGCTCCCTTTTCAGAACAGTTAAAAAGAAGAAGATATTAAGTAACGGTAAGTCTGAGCAGACGAGCGAATTGGAAAGTGTAATAAAATTTTATCCATCCTTCAGTTTCAGGTTTCGCTACAAGTAATTCCTTGATAGCGGTGATGGGACCTAGGTACATTGTTAATTATACAGATAAATTATTCATAATTCATAAATGCTTTCAAATTAACTCATTAAGATATTTTAAGGATGAGTAGCGGTTCAGACTAATTTGATGAGTGTATTTTAGCGGTGCTGGAAAGACGACATTTCTGGGCGCGATATCCGGCAAATTAAAAGGTACGAACGGTGGGGAATAACCGCAAAAGTTTCCTTTGTGTCATCCCGTAGCTTAAATATAAATTTATAAACAGGGCGTTCCTTTAAAAATCTCTAAGCCCCTGTATAGTTTAGAATTAAAATCAGCGCCTATGTTTTGCCTATCGATTGTTCAGCTCAGTCGTAATTCTAAAAGCTCCGAGCAATTAGCAACATTCAGCAAAATGTTTCGAGTAGTATCTCCGGAACTAAACCTGTATCTCGCGATGCACGAAATTTCCCAGATGCAGGGAAAAGCGGATTAACAAAATCCATTTTGATATAATTAAAACAACCGATGCAAAACTTTTGCGGATAGGCCATTAACCGTATTAGCGAGGTATTCAGGGAAAATATGTTTCAGGGAAGGAAGGGACATTAAGAATTAATAACAGGACTGTGACGGACAAAGACATGTGCAACATATCGAGTTATATACGGCAAGAAGATGTATTTACGGAATCTTTGACGGTGTACGAGCACATGAAATTTATGGTAAGTTTATGTGCCGGAGATAAACTTTATGATTGATGGTATTCATTTCTGACATGTGTATTCTCAGGCAGCGCTGAAGCTACACAAAACGGGGGAAGAGAGAATTGGAATAATTAAAAAACTCTTAATTGAGCTATGTTTGGACGGGAACAGCCGTACAATCATCGGAGTGCTATCCGGGGGACAGCGACGCAGGTTATCACTGGCTACGGAGGTAGAGTCCGGTGCATTTAGATATGCCTAGCATTTTTTTACTGTATTTTAAGTACCCACTAATGCACAGGTGGATAAGAGGGGATCCTACGCAGATTTTCTTATCTGAAATATTTCTTGTAGCCTGGCTATTTGCCTTGATGCGCCAGCGTACTTTCGAGAGACGTTATTTTATTATTTATGAATATTTTAATAGCCCGTCATACAGGACTGAATATTTAAGAAAAATCTGACGTTTAACGATTATAATAAACGCATTTATAGTTTCATACTGATAATTTTGTCCCGATAATTACACACTGTAACGGCCCTGCTTTAAGGCCTCAAAATATGCCGGGTTCGTTAAATGTTATACGGGGTGTAACGCTACGGCGTTCCAAATATGAATACGTAGCTCGATGACGTGGTATTTGTAGATACTTACGCAAAAAATCTAATTAATAATAATAATTTGAATTTACAATAAACGGAATGTATGTATCATCTGCATAATGTATGAAAACATGAAAATTTATTGAACTGCATGGTCCTCGAGCTGACGTTCGATCACTCTCGACGTTGGTTCCGCAGGAGGTTCAGTAGTGAGGTCCGTGCCAGATTCGGAAAATTCGGACTTTAGAAAACCATTCCTTAGTAATAATAGAATTCTTCGGGCTTATTAATTTTTGTCGAATTTCAAAACATGAGTGAAGAATTTCTACGGCTTGGCGGGAAATCTTCGAAAGGTGCATGAAAATTATCTAAATATGTTATATTATAAATAAATACTGAGGTAAATGTAATAAGACCGGTTATTTTCATAAACTTTACTCTTTATTGTAGCTTATCAGCGACCCCTACATCTTATTCTGCGACGAGCCTACCACAGGTCTGGACAGCTTCAGCGCAATGTCTGTGGTGAAAATATTAGAAGCAACGGCCATGACAGGGAAATTGGTTTTGGTGACACTGCACCAGCCGTCGTCCCAAATATTTGATCTATTTAACAACATTATTCTACTTGCGAACGGAAAACTGGTTTTTCAGGGGTCAAAGCGAGAGGCCCAATCGTTTTTCGAAAGGTCGGTAAAAAATTAATTATTTTACGCTATACAGTTCTATCTGAATTTAAAACTTTTCGAAAGTTGAGGAGTGTATTTCAGTGTCTCTCTCAGCCGTTGCCTTCTAGATCGCAAATTCAGCTAGTCTGGCGCATTCCAAGATTTGCTCACGATTGCGTACGTATTTCTATTGGTAATTCTCACTGCAGTTTGACTTGCAAATGCAGCAGAAATAATTTCGTTCCCAGTGAAGCTTCTGTTATTACCTAATAAATGCAAAAAACTTACTTTCCGAGCTACCTTTTTAAGGATTCAAATCCAGGGTGGATTAATTGGAATATCCGAAGAATATATTTAATATTTCATTTCATTTGCTTTGTTGCAGAGCGAATCTGGTCTGTCCGGATTCGTACAATCCTGCGGATTTTTATATAAAATGTGTCACAGTGGATTCTGGAAACGAGGAAGATAGGAAAACGGACTGGCTGAGTGATTTATTTCATAACAATTCCGAACAGATCATCACAGATAGATACAATCCGAATGAGTTCACTAAACAAAAGTAAGGTGGATTTTCTGTATGGCGCGATAAAAATAAATTATATCTCTTCCAGGATGAACAAGAGGAGTTTTTTTGTACAGTTGAGGTGGCTAGTTTGGAGGGTTTTTATTGACTTTAAAAGAAGCATCCACGTATATAGGACAAGCTACATTCTGCTAATGGTATACGAATCTTTATAAAATAAATAAATAAAATTACATGATTTTTATTTTAGATTACAGCGCTGATTATTGGAGTATCGTTTTCGAATGTGACTTTAGAGAACAAAAGTAACGTTCAGAATGTACAAGGCGTTTTAATTTTGATTGTCTCGGAGTTAATTTTCACGCACATGTACTACGTTATATACGTATTTCCTGAAGAAATTGTAATTTTCGTCAAAGAAAAATCGCTGTACTCCTCTCTTCCTTATTACTTATCAAAGGTGGTTTCTCTGGTAAGCAGATGTATTTAAATAATTATTATTGAATTAACTACATATAAATAGGCGTTCCGTCCGACGGTGACCATGACCACCACTGTAAACACTTCTAGGGGCGAGCTACGAGGAGCACACGTATTCAGTGTTTTTCAAACGATTTTGCAAGTCAAGTTAAATTGACTGCATATTATAAATTCCTTTTTAATATGTTTCATAAGACTAATATATTTAATTATCCAGATAACATTGTACACTAAATTTTAAATTAAATTTATTTACTACTACCCCAGCCGCCACTGAATTGATTTCTGTTGCAGATGCCTATATCCTTCATAAACGCAATAAGTTTCTTAGCAGTATATTTGGCCCTGCTACAATTCCTACAAAACTTCAACTTGTTCCTGAATATGTCCATTGTACTCTTTCTGACAAGTTTATGTGGAATATCCCTAGGTAAAACTTTGCGCAAACTTTTTTTTGTAAAAAAAATTAAATCCTATTTTTCAGGTCTGTGTCTCTCTGCTTTATTTCCAACCGTGGAATACATACACTTGTTTATAGTCCCTTTTGAGATTGTCGTTATGATAGTATCGGGAATTTGGATAAAAGTGGACACCTTACCGGGAGTTTTTCGCGCTGTTAAGTATTTTTCGCCTTTTTACTACGGTTTCCAGTCTGTTTCAACGCTGTGCTGGGAAAACGCCGAATTTTTAGGTAAATATTTCCATAATTATTTATTTGTTACAGTTTTTGTTTAATTGGGTAGATCGTAAATATTTTTATGCATACAGGGTGTGACTTTAATTTGGGGTGAGTTTATGCGTGACGTTTTAAATCACAAATCCACAACACGTAAAGCGAACACCTTGTACATTTCTTCCTTTTATCTAGTACAGCTGTTCGTGTACGGAGAACGACTTTCTTTGACAAGGAGGGAATTTCACGTAATAGTAACGTAACTTGTGGAATGATTCATTGACCGAACGTTATCAGCATAATACGATACATTATTTTTGTCCTCAAAATTCCTCGGCACCTTTCTAATGAGCCTGTACCCCGAACAATAATAGAACACTATAAATTAGTCAACTGCAATTTATCATAGTTGTGAGATAACCCACAGAAATAAATTTAACGGGAGTGTTGGTAGTGTCGTAATTCAAAATATAAAATATGTCGCCGTGACATAAAATTATTTGGTGAATTTTTATGTATTAAAGTATAGTACGGACTTATATTACATTGTACTTACATTCCTAAGAAATAGGAGACAGAGCTCATTTATCAACGCGATACAGAAAATTACCCACTGAAATGCATGTACGTCTAACTTAAAAAGTAAAAATGTAGTTACATTTATACGAATTTATTTCAGCGAACTGTACAACCGGGGATGTGCTTCCTTGTTACAGCAGCAGCGAAGAGGTGTTGAGACGTTATGGATTATACGAAGAATATGACGTAGTTACTTACAATAATCTATATTTATCGTTTTTAACTTTGCTTTACTGTTCTGTAGGATATTTTGGTATTTTAAGGAAGCGAGCTATAGAGTCATATTAAAAACTTATTAAGAAATGCAATCGCAATTATTATACCTTTAGGGATTCCACGCTTCTACCTGCCGAATACATTTTTTGAACGAGAGCGATGCTAACCAAACAGCGACAGAACAATGCTTTATACGCAAAATCCAGTAGGTAAATAGGTTTTAAGCCTCCGTTCATTACAGATGGGAGTCGGATAACAAATTAGTTTTTAGCTTCTGTTAGCCGTACAAATTACTATGAGTTTCAAACTTTGGGATATATGTTTAAATACGGCAGGTTATTAAATGTGCGCAACCGGAATACATAAAACAAAAAAAGTCGGATTGACTCCGCACGTCCGAGCAAATGAGCCGGATGTAACCCTTTGATGAATTCCATATTTGTTTGGACTCTTTTCAGTACCGTGATATTAAAATCCTGCCTTTAAAATCCTCCTACCTTTCGAATGCGAATGATTGGATTTTTTCTAGATGCCGCGCACGGCGAGGACGCCCTGTGTGTCTACCTCTGCGGCGACGTTAAAATTTGTGGTAATCTGCCAGATCGATAGTTCCATATTCATATCGTCGTGGTACATTCGAAAATAAAAGTAAATCATACTGTTGCACCGTATTTGCTGATTTCATTAACCAAAGAAAATGTATTACGCGCCATGAATGCGCCGCATTTATTTCCTTCGTTGCAATACTGGTCATGCCTTTCAGAAAACAATTGTATTTCGGTCGCTACGCCTTGCTCCATAATATAGAGTAAGATTTATGTCGAATAAGGCGTTAATCAGGGAAAATACAATTTCATTTCGGTAGAAGCTTAATAAGGACCAGATTTCCGATTAATACGGTGTAACAGTTTGAAGGAATGACTGGCGAGAAGGAAAAATGTAATAGTCTCTATAATTTGCGAAGCTTGGGGAAAATTTATTACACAAAGTGTCTCGAGAAGAACCGAACAAAACTTCAGATAAAAGTTGTAGTTTGACCTCTAAATTTGTGGTCAAGGTCAAATGACATTGGATTTGACCTTGACCATAACTAGAGATCAAACTAAGATCAAATTGAAAATATTAAATCGAACTCCATCTTTTATCTCAGCCATCCACAGAACGCTAAACTTTACGTCCGACAATGGGGTAAAAATTTTTTTCCAGTACGTCCTTGCAGATCATTTAAGGTCAAGCAAAATTTATAAGATTTTGAATGATAAACTAGATAGTGACGCAATAAAAAATGATTAATTTAATTCGGATAAATTTGTAGAATATCAAGAAATCGATATGCTCGTGACCTTGAATTTCACCTTGACAGTAACTTTCAGGGTCAAACCAAGGTCAACTTAAAATGGACAAAAGTTTCTCGCAAGTTTTATAGGATTATGAATGACAAAATAGGCGATGATCTTGGATTTGACCTTCACCACAAGTTGCAAGGTCACCTTAATATCAAATGGAGTGCGCTATTTTATGCCAGCGTCAAATTTTATGTCGGAATTTGAGGTCAACAAATTTTTCTGAGATGCGCGATGTGAGGTCAAACTCATTTTATTTCTCTATAACTCGATAAAAATGTTTCAAACTAAATTTTTAGGATTCTGAATGCAAAATCAGGTGGTGACTTTGGATTTGATCTTCACTACAAGTTGCAAGGTCAATTTAACGTCAACTTAATATCAAGAGGAATACATTATTTTTTATGCCAGCAACGGACATACAAATTTAACGTCGGAATCTGGGACTAAAGAATTTTTCTAGGATGTCCTTGCAGGTCATTTGAAGGTCAAACTTCATTTTTCACAAGAAAATAATAGATTTAAATGTAATAGAAGTTTTCAAGTCCAACTGTTACTACGATCGTTTTAGCTTCTCACATTTTTGTCGAATTATCCACAGAAAAATGAGTTGACCTCTAAATGACCTGCAAGGACACTCAGGAAAAATGTACTGGCATAAAAAATAGCATGCCATATTTAATATTTTCAAGCTGACCTTCATTTGACTTTGAAATTTAACGTCAAGGTCATCAACATAAACGTTTCTTAATACCCTACAGCTTTTGTCTGAAGCATTTTTAGTAAGTTTTTGAATATACTCTGAGAAGTTATAGTTGTATGTGTTGGGTTGGAATAATTTTAGGGCGATCTGCTCCTTTGTTGAAGATTTGGCGACGCCTGGTAATTATGCGGTGGAGAGCTTGTATATGATGCGCTCCGTGCGTAGCCGGTCCTATTTAAAAAACGTAAAACGGCGAGTAACAAGACGAGACATCGTTATAATGTAACATGGATATCTGTAGTTGCAAATCAACATACATGGTCATGATTACAATAGTACAATGATTCAAACAGATTGATTCTTTGTCTGTAGACAAGACCCGTCGGAAGGCTCGAGACATTAATCGTTTAATCCATTTAAATAAATCAGCCGAATCTCATTTGTATGCAAGATTTCTTAAAAACCAACTTAAACAAAAGAATTTATGTCATATTATGCATAAGAAACAATGAGAGTCGGGTCTTCGGTCGAAAAAGGGTTTTGTAAATTGCTACTTTGAATTTGGAGATGATGTACGCATGCTTAAAACGAAAAAAAAAAAATCATACGGATGGCTTTGTGAAGCTCGGCATAATTTAACTGTAAAATGAGCCAAGGCAAAGATATTCGTTACGATATACATTTATTTCATTTCAATAGTAAGAATGCTGACCAGTTATTTTAACTAGCTGGTCTTCGTTACAGTTTCTTTGTATATCGCTAGATTAAAATATTCGTTCCTTTTTTTTATGTTTGAATATTAATTTGCGGTTTCTCAAATAATAAGAAAAATTATTCACAATAGCAAACAGTTCTAAAGGTCTAAAAATATGGCTTAATATCGTTCCAAATTCACATATTTCCATTGTGCATTTTGTATACCTTTTCTCTATTCAAGCAAAAGGGCAAAAGCTTTATGTACAATTTACAAGATATTATTCGGGAGAACCTATAAATCGCCAGCAAAATAGATTCAACCAATTTTTCCGAATAACACACGCGAGTTTTATTACTTTTATCGACGCCAATATACAGCATTTTTTCATGGTTTAATCTAAAATAATTCCTGTAAATATCTTCAATATAGAATGAATCACGACTGATAGACATCATTCATGACAATATACGCGTCACAGTTAGTGATAATTGTTTCCTTTTCCTATTTATAAAAATATTTCCCAGACATACACACAATATTTGGAAATTGTTTCCATCGAACATCGAACATTTTAATAAAAAGCCAAATAGAAATCGGATCAAGAAGCATACAATAAAAGCATTTCATAATGAACGGGAAATCACAAAGTACTACCTGAAACAGAGGTAATGCAATTAATTTGTGAATAGATCAAAAAGAAAACACGGCATAAAGCTGTAATTTTATATTGCCATATTTTATCAGTCACAGTAAATGATTTAAAATTTCGTTGATAAATTAACGTTAAAATACAGTTTAATTTGGAATTTTAATGGAATTAAATACTAAAATTATTATTGTGACATTTTTCTTTTTATGCAATTAATATTTTTATAAATTCAAAACATATTTAATGTTTCAACTGTACTTAACAGAATTAATGTTTTATTTTCAGCCTAATAAACACTACCCAAGCTTTCAATACTTTCAAATTCGTTATTTCTGTCATATTTTTACTCTTTCTCACTGTCCAAATTTATAAAATAGTCTATAGAGTATTTAATTTATTAAAGCAATAATTTTAGCCCACCCTGTAGCCGGCCGGAGTAATACGAATTTCCCGCGCAGTCTCCTTAACTGACGCTACCTTGTCGGTGACCTTCGTTGTTATCCGTATGTTTAGTTCGCAGCAAGGTAGGAAGATGTCGTCTTGTCAGTTTTGCCTCAGTGTATATTGAGTTGTCGTGGATTTGTATCGTTCGGGGTTGCAAATCGTATTCGAATAGAAAATTCAATGAAAAATAGTGTAAATCATTAAATAAATATAGCAGCGTCGATACTTCCAGACTCTTAACAGAAAAAAAACACCTTACCTGCTTTAGAAAACCAGTAAAGTTGTTAGTGTTGTGTAGTAGCAAAAGTAGTTTGTCAAGTATTTTCTACCTATTAAAAATGTTAATATTTCTCAAATATTTTGGGTAGCAAGTAGCAATTAGAGCGGATGATCTCATTTTATAAATTAAATGTATTTTTTTAAGCTGTGTCTGCTATGTTTTCTAGTGTTACTGGTGCCTTGTGATTACATACAATTAAATAATGTACAGTGACTCTGTGACAAACCGTTAAGGATCTTTTGAGGTAAGTTTATTTACACGTACAATTACAGTATAGTAGTAGCTTTATTTTACCACTTAATAAGACAAAATTCTGCATGAAACAAGATATTCTTGATATGCAACACATCTACCAGCAAATGTTTTTTTTTTGTTTACCTTAAATATCAAGCCATGCAAGTTGAATTGGTGTTTTATGCTTGATAGATTTATATAATTACGGTTTGCCCTGAAGATTGTTGTTAGAATGCGTTTGTTTTTTCTGTTTTACAACTTCCAATGAAATTCCTCGACAATAATCCTGTAAAAATGGCTGCCGTCGGATAATAATTGCATGTATGTCTTTTATATTTGTTATTCCTGTTGATTTCATCACAAGGTGTTTCACAATATAACAGAAACTTCGCAGTATAACCAACTAAATATTTAAGACTGTCGCACGTATCCAGTACTCACTGAAATTAAAAAAAAACAGGTAACAAGTTGCAAAGCAAGGAATGCATTTGAATTTTGAGACCCTGAATATACGATTTTAAAAGGTTTCTGTTCTTAATTTGTATTACTCTGTACTTCTACCTGATTCGGCGGCTTTCTATCTCTACCTACCTTACCCTCAATAAGAGGTGTCTAGGTGTAAAGGTAGTTAAATAAAAATTTCTTGTTTAACTTCAATATTTACTTTCAACAAATGGTTTAAAGCCGAGAGTCGATTAACGAAAGGGAATAAACGTGTATAGTTAAATCTGTTTGAAACCCAAATCCACTATGAAATTGTTAAATCGTCACCCTGAAAAAATCCGCGTCGGTTTTACGTACAATATTTTCAAACAAAGCTAAGACAATATAATCGCCTACGAGTACAATTTCATAATAATTTTGCTAATGGAACCATGACGTTCGATTTTATGGATTTTTTTTTGTTTAATTTGTGGGCATTGTTAGCTCAACCAAGAGCGTAACAAATAGTATAGTAAATCGTAAAAATGCCGGATAAATGTGATCAATGAATTTTATTTGTTGTCCGAGTAATCTTCACTGCTTTTTTGTCGCTAGTATGTAGATGCGGTATTCAATATATTTACTTGCTTAAATAGCAGTATTTTTACCTCATTCTGATTCTATGCTGCTTTAAAGATAAAAAGAGTGTTTGAATTTGAATATCTACGTAGTTTTAAAATTTTTTTAAAGTTTCGAAAATGAAATGCAATATTTAAATTTTCAGTAATCTTTTACGTAAAAAGTGACCTTTTTTTTTTCATTTGTTTGTTAAACGTTGCTTGCAGCAGGTTTCATTAGTAAAATGTGATTTCTGATTTAATCTTGAGAGTTACTTTAAAATAATGTGGGTTCTTTAGGCCTGCTATCAACGCACTAAAAGTTCCAGCGCCTGAAATTGCTATATTTTATCTTTTATTAGTAAAATATTTATTTCAGGTTCTGTTGAAGGTCCATTTTAATGTGTTATCATTAAGATTTATTGGTCCCAACTCTTTTATCTTTTCTTGTTTTCTCCCTGAACCCGTTAAGCTTTCCTAAAAACTCTTAAGTGCCGTATGTATCATTTTGATGCCACGTACAGTCTTTTTGATAAACGCTGCACCATTTCGGCGTTTACAGTACAGGTTTCAAGTTTCGTTTGATCCGGCGTGTTGTTTCGTGAGTATTAGAAAATCCTTTCAGCTTGTTGGAATTGTCATCGGCCGTCAAATTTGATTATGAACAGATTATTTACTGCTATCGCACCTAAGGATTATGTAAAGGATCTTTCCTCACATAATGGCAGTAATCCGAACTCTTTCAGTACTTTCGGGGTTATTAAACCTCGTGGCCAAAATTCTCTAAGCGTAAGAAGATTACCGATTACCGATCAAGGAAAATTTTTTTAACTAGTTTATGGACTTTAAAATTAGAAATTCCCGTCAATGTGTTTGAATTTGAAAGGTCTCGACACAAATTTTAAAAAGTGGGGTAATGAATTATATATCCGCTTGTATTATGTATTGTGACCACCGAGAAAGTGTGGGTATTCCTTGACAGCGAGCCTAACAGGAAACAATAGAAAAGGGTTCACTCGACGTTAAAGAGGGTGTTGTTGGTTAAATAATAAAATATCTCGGATCGATGCGGCCTAAAACACACTGTGGATTATGAATTTCAAATCTCTATATCCGATTTGTGAAATGTATATATTTAGCGGCAACTATACGGGGGGAGAAAAACGAGAGGTACATTATTGAAATGTGCAATATCGATTTTGTTGTCTAAAAACACCTGATAAATAACCCACGTCAAAGACAGTGTTGCCAAAGGGGTGCCGCGCTTGAACGTTTACAAATATGTTCTTAGTTTCATTCGTAGTTGTATTATGAAAAGTGCGTTTCCCGATGAAAAAAAAAAAAAAAAACAATCGAGGAGTAATTTAAAACATTTGTCTCCATTTGAAAAATGAATTGACTGTAATTTCGTTAAAAGGGAATAAATGAGGCTATAATTACATTTACGTTCAATTGGCTATTTATTTATCTATCGTCAAGTAAATAACTGTTGTCTCACGTACATATTGAAGTGCGGATAAACAGAATACCATGCAACTTCGTTTGACGTAAATATTTCAGTATTTTAAAAGCGGAAATAGATAATTTTCCAATCGTGTGTTAAAATATGTTTATTTCTATGTTATGTATTTTATTTTAGATTTTCCTGATAGGTTTCTACCATTTTTACCAGTAGTTTTATAAGAAATTAGTGCACAGAAGTCTAACAGGAATTGAACATTAAGTACTTAATTTGATGAGTAACAAAATGTTTATTTTTAGATGTGACTTTAGTCGGAACTACTGCATTTATGTCGCTCATTTATTTGCTGGCAAAAAAACATTTACGATTAAATGAAAAAATATAAACTAATGCAAAAAATTAAAGGGTCAAAAGGTTTTCCGAAATTTTTCCGTGATTTTCGACAGACTGTATTTAGGTGAAAAATGGTCGTATCGGGAATTAAAAAACGCATTTTGAAGCTCCAAGATTCTAGTTTTTAGATTTTTTTGTCGCGCTATTTCTTAGAATAGCATGATAACCGTAGCTCCTAAAAAATTTCAACCGAAAGATCTAAGAACTAGAATCTTTAGAGCTTCAAAATGCTTTTTTTTAATTCCCCATACGACCACTTTTCACCTAAATACAGTCTGTCAAAAATCACGGAAAAATTTGGGAAATTCTTTTGACCCTTTAATTTTTTCTATTAGTGTATATACTGCTTATTGTTAAAAGGCGATTAAAACCGTTCTTTTTTCGATAAAATTCATTATGAGGAGCAGAGGCATAAAGTTACGTTTTATAGTGGTAGTTTTGTTCCCTCATAAAATTCCAGTTGCCCCGAAAGTTTTTCAAACTACGACTTAATCTGACTTCCTCTTAATCAGGGGTAGGTAAATCACGTGTTATCTTATACAAAGACTTCCTTGGAACTTCCCTGAACTTCCTCAGATAGTTGTCCTCGCGTGTTCACCAAACTTCCTTCCAGTTTAATCGTTTGAAAAATGCAAGGAAAAACGCGCCGCCTCTGTCGAGGAAAGAGAAAGCTCACTTGCATGATATTGACAGCTATAATTTTTGATTAAGTTAACTCGGGATTCGAGGGAGACGCATTTATTATTTAAGCTTTTAATTGTGAATCAATTACTAAGGCCTTAGATCTGAATTAGTGCGATGTCTGACTTTTTCTTTGTTTTATAAAGCGATTTTATTGTTCGTGACAAGCATCATCAAGCATCGGATATTTCACTTTTTGTCCCAGAACTTCCCATTTACGACGGGATTTTAATAAAATGGATGATGTATTTTCATTTAAATCCGAATTAATGCTGTTATCCGCAATAGTCTATCGATTTCGAGTCGTGCAAGGCTCTAATAGACTACCTAGTCACAAAAATTAAAGAATAAAAATTCTAAGTATAAGAAATCCAGCGGATTTTTTTTTTTAATTTTTACTTCCCTTTCGAAGCATCCCGCCTCAAGAAACTTGATTGTAAAAATTAATTCCAATATTTATCACCGAGAAATGGGCCTTAGTCCTGCAATTATTTCTTTTCGTTACAAAATCTCTACCGTAATAACTTCGGTGGGTCCGTAGAAATAGAAATCGTTTAATTGAAAGAAATTGCCCACAGAGAATTGCCGTAACAATAAAACCCATATATTATTTGTCGTTTAATAGTTATGAAAGTAAATTAATAATAATTGTTGTTGAGACGCATGAACTTATCCTAGACAATAGGTGCATTGTGAAAAAGGTAAGGTCATTAATGGAAATTGTGTGTCGTTATTATTTTCGTCGTTGGGCAATCCGATAAATTTAATCGAGAATTTAATGCATATTTAAGATTTTAACGTGGATTAAAGATGTTGGTGGTCCGACAGCCTTTGTCTGTTGGTAAACGCATAGTCGAGTGGACAGAGGAAATCCTATTTCACTAATTTATTACTAACAATAAGTCCAATCCAATTTCAAAATACGTTTCATTAAAATTTTTCCGTTTATAAGTAGCTAACTTTTTGCGGAATCATTTCTATAAAAACTGGAAGTGCAATAAAACAAGCAGTCGCAAGTATCAAACTTTAAATTGAGATTTGCACCCCTGCTATAAGGGCGGGGATTATTAAAAAGAGTGGTAAAAATAATAAGTGGTAAACGGTAGTTTTTAAGTGACAAACTTTAGATTGAGATTTGAGTCCGTGGAAAAGAAATGTGGACTGGTTCTTAAAACGCGCTTTTGCGTAAGGTTAATTTTGAAGATAAATCCGAGATAGTATTTTTGTAGCTTGACTTCGTTATCTGAGAGTAAATAGTAGCATAAAATGTGTGCGAACAACTGGCAAGCAAAAACGAATTTAAATATGATTTATTCTATATCCGCCAGCTTCATTATATTAACGTTTCGTTTTAACTCTATCCTTTGATAGAGGCAAATAAAATAACGGTCACGTACGCCTAAAATGTTTGAATTATCTTTACGCCTCGCCCGTTCCAAATCCTTAAGACGCGAAACATTTAATTTGTGAATTTCGAAACTTCCAATCTTGTTCGGGTAGCTCCGAAAATAAACCCGGCATTTTATCGAAACTGTTATTGAATATAGATTTATTTCCTTACAGATTATTTAAGGTCTTCGGTTTATCAAAACACTGACATCGTAATTCTTAATTAACTCGTATTGGACGCAAAATAAAATTCAATTCGCAATTTGGAAATAATGTTATTTTTCCTTAAAATTGGACAGGGCAGATAGAGTAGTTAGGCTTCGTATTTTTTTACCGATGTTTCGATTGCATGAAAACAAGTTTTTGCGGTTGGTGTAATTTTAATGTTTAAGGGTATAACAAAATATGGTTTGAGGTACAGTTTGAGTTTTTTTTTCAGACCAGAATTCCTTAAACTATTATAGCACCCCTGCTTGCGTTGTTCGATATCGTGGGGTGACGTACTTCATACAGGTACGTAGAACAGAGTTGTGTTAATTGTTTTAGTGGATGTTTATATTTATACAAATTTTTTGTGTTTGGTACCTCTAACAGGTATACAAAAACTGGATACAATGTTATAGCCTAGATTTTTGTATATTAAAAACGAAAAATTGAAACAAGTGAAACGTCATTTTGTGAGTTGAGCGTAACCAGTTCTGAAAATAACGAAACATTCTATTAATTTTGTCTTTTTTGGGAAACTTGGGCCGATAAATTCAACTAATCCTTTATTCCGCTTCCTAAATACAGATTTATAAGTGTTGCTCAAACGCCGAAGTACGTTACTTATGCTAATAAATTGTATTATTAAGATTACGTTACGGGATGCTAATGTTTAGTGGCCTAGCTCAGCGTTGGTATTTACAACGTAAATAATAACGCATTCTTAAATACGGACAGAAAATCAATTTAAATCACGGGATTAGCCGTCGGATCAATAGTTCCTGAATTTGCATACGGTTATTGGCCGATAAAAGTTTTTTTTTATTTGGTACACCTTATATACTCATCAAATCCATCCTCGAAATTATAATCTGTTTTTGATATATGTATATGATCCGGACAAGCCAAGAGCATTAAGTTATCTCTAAGTCCATTAAGTCCGAAAAGGTTACCTAGCTTTTCCACTTTCCTGGTCCGCCAAAACATGTATGGGCGATGATGGAATGTGGATACTCTCAACTAAATGGTATAGGCGAAGCTACCTATACAATTTAACAGCTCGTGATACTCTGCCCCGAGATTAAAGAATTTTCGATATTCCCCTTTAATCTTCCATTTGCATTTTTCAAATATTATATTACGGTTTTATCTCCTCGAATTAATATAATATGTGGCCCGTGGAAAGAACTGCTTTACTAATTATGATTTAGATGCGACGTTAAATTTAATCGCATATTAGTTAATTAATTCTGTTTATTCAAAATTGTGGCGTCGCCACATAATTCCTATTCATTTAATTAATATAATTTCAATAATGTAAATTTTAAAATTAAGTACAAACAATCACATTACGCTATAATAATTATGGATTATAACATTTATCCTTAACGGATTTGCAATGGAGTGTGGACATAAAAAATATATAATTAAATTGATTTTTGATTCACCATTATTATGAAATAAATTTTTCAATAGACTCATTCAGCAACATTTAATTTTTCTTGGTAGCACTAAACTCGCTAAATATGTGGGGAAAAAATCGGGTCGATAGCTTTAATAACCACAGATAACAGGTAAACACTATTGTAAAATCGAATTTCAGAATTCGGAGTCGCTGAGGCCACGTGCCTCTCCACGCGTATACGAATGACGCTAGAGACTAGTTGTCCAACTATGTAATGGTTGAATGTACTACAACTTCAATAATTTTTTCTCGGAAACTATAAGGATTTTACAAAAAATTTTTTTACTATATTGACTATTACTCATATCGCATCTATTCCCAAATTTTTTTGGATATGTTGTGAATCACCCTGCATAATTTAATTCAAATCTTTTATAAGTGCAAAACTGCAAACATATTTGTTTCAAAGCTACCAGTTCGTTAAAAAAATATATATATTTAAAATTCAGTATTAATGTAGGAATTATTCAAGACAAATGAAGCATATTATAATCAAACTTATGTTTTCTTGAAAGAAAATATTTTCTTGCGTATATACAGGGTCGGAAAGTCCCCATGGTTCATCGGCCGTTACGTGAGAGCGATAAAGAAAGTCATAGAAATCCGTGCGATAGGGAAAGATGGCTATAATGAAAGCGTCTAATAGTCACCGCCCATTTCGCCCTTCCACAAATAAGATCCACTTCTTATTTGTGGAAGGGCGAAATGGGCGGTGACTATTAGACGCCTTCATTATAGCCATCTTTCTCTATCGCACGGATTTCTATGACTTACTTTATCGCTCTCACGTAACGGTCGATAAAAAAAAAATAAAAATAAAAACACCACAGAAATGAGACAACCCCCAAATCCAAAGGCTTGTGCGGAAGGGGGCTACACTTGAAAAAACGCGGACAAACACCCATTATCCATCGACATTGCCAGTGCCGACACCGGGGATCGAACCCGGACCAGAGTAGGAAGCCTAGCCGAGAAATGCTTGCCACCGCACTCTCGACCGACTGCGCTACCGTGGCGATATAAACCATGACTCGATGAACCATGGGGACTTTCCGACCCTGTATAAACGTGCGATACCTTAAAATCAAATGTTGTATATTTGAAACAAGATTTTTTTTGCTTGCACTAGTGCAAGAACGTCTTTACGTGAGAAAAGGATGACATGGTACAGGTGAGACCCAGCCAAGTATGTGGGCTAGCCTCCAGCGAGTGGTATGACGTCACAACATGTCATTCATTATTTTAAGGGACAAATTGTCGAAAAAAAAATCTCATCAGCTACCTACAATGTGCCAATGCAACTTCTCTATGTTCTTAATCAATATGGAACAGGTTTGAGTGTATTTTGAATGGTTTTAGTATAAATCTTTTATGTATTTGACTGTTTCCCATATTTTTACCGGTGCACGGCATATTTAATTTCTACAGTAGTTACTTTCGGCGCATTGTTGGTTAAATATAGTTTTTCTAGTTCCTTCAGCATTTCCCTGGTACTGAAATTAACAATCTCCAAATTTACATTTAAAACAACAAAGTTGCCTCTCACTGGGAGCAAGCAGTAATCCCCCTTCTATATAGTTTTTACCTCATACAAAAGTTTGCGCAAGTTATGTATTAAAAGTTTGCCGCAAACTACTTTTATATTAAAACTTATACCCGTTGAGAGAATTATAAGATGTGGTACATTATTTTAGCGAAATATTTAATATTCTTGTCTTTATCACGTACAAAGTTGTTAATACTAAATGAGTACCCCATATTAAAAGTTTATTTAATATTCCTTTCAGGGAATTTCTGAGCGGAGTTTTGTCTGCGAAGCACAAATATTCCGCTGTGTAGCATTTGCTACGTCTTTTGTTTAAAAAACTGCATTTATTTGTAAGTTGACTAGTTTTCTTGTATGTTTCGATAGAAATATCGCTTTAATTCCCAGAGTAATAAAATATTAACTAATTAAAGATGGCGGGGAGGTAATTGAATCCGTCTGGAAAAATTGGTCGGAACGGGTGTTATCTGTTGTTCCGTGACACTAATGGCTAGTCGTCCTGGTGTTATCTGCCCGATCACCCTGTACAAGTCTACCGATGGGTTTGTGTACAAAACCCGTCTGCTGTCAGCAGGTAAATGACGGATAGAGATAATGCAATATCGATGCTGATGACATGTAAAGTTTAGCTTACCAATTAAGTAGTGTTTCAGTTTATCTATCCCGGTGTGTCCGGTTGGACACTGGCTTAAAACCGACTGCACCGGGAGGCTCGAATCATTTTTATAATAACGAATTTTTAATGCCCTCTACACTTTCGTGGAATAAGACCTATCATTAGGGCCACCTGCCTTTAATAAAATCAAATGAGTCTTTTGTTGCCTCCGATAAAATTGTTGCCTCTGCGCAGATGCTCAGACTGAAGTGTTAATTACTTAGAAATTATGTACCGGGTGGTCCAAAATCCGCTTAAAATTACGACCGAACAAATTCTTCTCCAGTGTCGTAGCGAGTTTAAGTTACATTGGGATAGGTTAAATTAGGACTGGACGGTATAAATTTATTAGGACCCGTGATCTACGCCTTTCTTTATCTGGGAAAGTGAGTGTAACTTTTGTTTTATCGGCCGTAAATTGGTGGGATTTTAACTACGGACCGCAACTAACGTTTTCCAAATTCGTTTTTATGGTCCTGCTATGGGAGTTTTGTTATTTTGGACAAATTCACCGCCCCCGCATACTGACGTTGATTTAAAGCGATTTTTTAACTCTTTAAACTTGTGTAAATACATACCTGGTACATTGAATGCAAGTATTCAAAGAAACATCCTGTATTCTTGCTGTTCTATTATCGCTCTTGACAAAGACTAATGTATGTTTGCGCTTAAATCATGTTTAAATCCCCTTTTGGAGCGCTCCTGCCCGCTACCCACAAAGGTTTATCGAGAGTAAATTTTGATTATTCGGTCACTAACCTAGTTTTTACTGCGTTTTTAATGCGGAGTGAATGACAAATCATTTTACCTAGACACATGAATGTTTTTTTACATTTTACATCAACGTACAGGGTGATTCAGTCATGATGTCATTAATTTCAAGGGAAGATAGGGAAAAATTAGTAGAATACGAATAAGCGATTAAAAAAATTTAAAAAGCATTAAAAAAATATTTTCAAATCATTATTTAAACCCCTATTCGGGACGTTTCTGGCGGCTGATCTACAAAGGTTTATCGAGAGTCAACTCGGTCACTAACCTAGCTTTTACTTCGTTTTTAATAGTGAACGACAAAAACACACCGTTTTACCTAGATACATGAATGAATAACACTTTCTTTTACATTTTAAATATTAACAAGTATTATTTATTTGTTAATAAAAACAAATATATATAAGGATAGTAATTGTTTTCGAGTGTTTTTACTTACTTTCGGTATCTTTTTTGTACACTACGATCAAAGATCAAAAAGTAGCGAAATATGTAAAATATTTTCGAAAATTTTTAATACAAAGTAGGAGACGGCCTCATCGACTGAAATATGTTTCGAAACGTCGGGAACTTTCCGACGATTTTTTTTAAACTATCGTTTCTGGCTCTAATAAATTTCACGATAATTTGCATTCCAGAACGCGTGGGAGGTTTTTTTTTTCATATCGTACGTTTCGTAGCTCGAAAGGTATTCGGAATTTGCTATTTACGTGCATAATGTGATATATTATTTAGATACATCAAGATAGTGTTTAATAAAATAGGTATTGCGGTATTCTGGAGATCCGTTGTACGTAATAGTGCAAACGGAACATATATCTATCATAGAAGGCTATTAGAAAGTGCAATAATAGTGTGTAAATTGCTGCTTT